CGCTGATCTTTCCTTCCTGGGGGATCACGGGGGCTGCTTCCTTTGTAATGTTTTCCTTTTGCCCTCTTTGTTTTATTGTTTTTTTATTGAGAGAGCGAGCGGGGGAGGGGCAGAGATGGAGGGAGAATCCCAAGCAGGCTCCTGGCTGTCAGCTCAGAGCATTCCGGGGGGGTGGGGTGGGGGGTGGGGGGACTCGCTCCCATAATCCGTGAGATCATGACCGGAGCCTTCGTTAAGAGTCGGAAGCCCCCCACGGGGTGCTTTCCAAGCGAATTAAGCTTTCTTTTCTCCAAAGCACCCTGGCTTGAGGACAGGTGTGCGTGGGTTTTCGGTGTGACGCGGAACTTTGTTCCGAAAGGCAGCCTGCTCTGGAGGGGGTGGACAGTGTTTGCAGGGAGGATCCCGTGCTCTGCCAGGGGCCCGCTGTGTGCAGCGGCGCACCTGCCTCAGTCTCTTTTCCTGGGTGAGGTGGGAAATATTTGCTTCCCAGGAAGGGGCGTGTGTGTGTAGTGGGGACACGCGTTCGGCATCCAGCGCAGTGCCTGCCCCGTGGCCACTGTGCTCTGCGTCCGCCTGTCCCGGTTCAGCTGTCGTTTTTACCTTGATGAATTCTAATGAGAACCTCTAGTTGTTTTGTTTTTGCTTTAAAGATTTTGTTTATTATTATTTTTTATTAAATTGTTTTTAATGTTTATTCATTTTTGAGAGAGACCGAGAGAGAGAGAGCACGATCAGGGGGAGGAGCAGAGAGAGAGAGACAGAATCGGAAGCAGGCTCCAGGGTCTGAGCTGTCAGCACAGAGCCTGATGGGGGCTCAAACCCACCAACTGTGAGATCATGACCTGAGCTGAAGTCAGTTGCTTAATTCACTGAGCCACCCAGGTGCCCCTAAAGATTTTATTTTAAGTAATCTCTACACCCAACAGGGGGCTCAAACTCACAGCCCCAAGATCAAGAGTCGTGGGCTTCACGGACTGAACCAGCCATGCACCCAAGAACCTTCAGTTTTATTAGGCTTGGTGAACTGACTGAAAAACCAGAATTACTGGCCTAAGTATTGGTGACCTATGTCCCTCTTGTGACATAAAGAACTGGGATTTATAGGAAATAAAACATGGGTTTTTGGTTTTGCAGTTTGGAAAGCTAGGCTTGATGTAAAGCAGCCTTGGCTTACAGCAGTTTATGCACAAAGATCAGTGTTAGGTGGACATTAAGGTACGTGTAGGGTGTGTTTTGCTGGGATTCAGCACAATACTGTTGTTAACTCTCGTTTTGGATAGTTGCCCGAGCTTCCTCCTGGAGTGGGAGGGAAGAAATAGTCGGCGAGGAAGTTCTGTAGAGATGGGGTTTTCCCAGACTTTGAACCCCAAAGAAAGCCTGCGCCGAAGGGCAGGACTGGGTATTCAGAATGAGATGAGCAAAGGTGCAGAGCCAGGCATGTTTCTTGCATTACCGGGTGATGGGGTCAAGGCATAGAGTATCTGGAGCACAAGGTTGATTTTGGCTGGAGAAGGTCAAGGTTGGAAAGGCTGGATTAGATACGATTTTGAAAGGTTTGCGAGTGAAGGTGGAGACAGCTGGAGCTTTCAGTTCCATCCTCAAGGCAGTAGGGAGCCATGGAACGTTATTGACGTTAACAAATGGTATGTTAGGAAGATGAGCCTGCAGAGTGGGTTGGAAAGAGGAAAGACTGGAAGGTAAGAAACCATTGGGAATAGGCCTGCGTGGGTTTGAAATAGGATTTTAACTGTGGCTGGTGGAAGGTGGGATTCACAGGTGGAGCGAGGAGGAAGTGAGGGGCCCGTGAAGGCTGCTTGTGTGGTGTGATCCCCCCTGGGGTTTGAGCCTAGACAAGAAATACTTGTGTCGGCAACAGAAAGGAAACCCTGTGGAGGTGGAATGGTTTGAGGGGACAGTGACAAGTTTGACTTTCGTTGTGTTGAGGTGATAGGGGAACATCCATATGGAAATGTTTAGAATTTAGGTGAGAACACTTACTTTTACTTGTCTTATTGGACATTTTCAAACAGTAGAGCCTATAGCGTAATAAACCTTATATTTCTGTCGCCCGCCGACAGTGATCTTCATCGTTTTGCTCTATTCCTTTCAGCTCTGTCCCAGCTTTTGGGGGACAGGGAGCGTTTGACAGCAGCTGTCAGGCCTTGTATCACTCATTTGAGGCCTTTTCCTTCTGTGTCTGTCCTCATTTTTTTATTTGTGAGTTTACATTTTGTGCCAAAATCCGTTTTTTTGCTTAATTCTACTAGAATGTATGTTTAGTGTGCAGAGTTTGGGAAAGAGAAATAATAGGAAAACAGGTCCTCTGTGAGGAGACATAACCACTGCTCACCCATGACCCCACTGTACTGATAGTTTTGTATCTTGTTTCCTTTTTTCTTTTCTTTTTTCTTCTTTTTATTTCCGAGAGAGAAGAGAAAGAGAGAGAGCGAGCGAGCCAGCGTGAGCAGGGGAGGGTCAGAGAATGAGGGAAACACAGAATCTGAAACAGGCTCCAGGCTCTGAGCTAGCTGTCAGCACAGAGCCCGATGCGGGGCTTGAACCCATGAATCGTGAGATCATGACCTGAGCCGAAGTCGGACGCTTAACCAGCTGAGCCACCCAGGTGCCCTTCTCGTTTCCTTTTTTCACATCTTGAGTCTTCAAAGACATTTTATGGATATGTCATAAATAAACACTATTTTTCTACTATTGGGAATTCAGGTTTTTCACATTTAAATTGTTTTTATAGGTGTTACTTTCCGATTCTTACCGTCATTTTCACTTTTGAGGAACTCAGACTGGGTGTTCTGGTATGGATCACTTTAGAATTGAGCAAAATAAGATTCTTTTGTGAAAATAATTTGTTGAAGGGACATAAATGAGGAAATTGAATTGTCTAATGACTAAACTTTAAGGAAATAAGTGTTTTCGAGGCAAATTTAATTCTGCACTACAGTGGATTTTTTTCCTGAAATTTAAAAGCACTTAGTTATCAAAAAAAAAAAAGTCTATTGGGGCCCCTGAGTGGCTCAGGTGTGATCTCATGTTTTGCAAGTTCGAGCCCCACATTGGGCTCTGTGCTGACAGCCCTGAGCCTGGAGCCTGCTTCAGATTCTGTGTCTCCCTCTCTCTCTGTCCCTCCCCCGCTCCTGTGTACGCGTGTGCTCTCTCTCAGAAATAATAAATAAAACATTAAAAAATTTCGAAATGGCTTGTAATTCCTTATCTTGATCCTCAGATAATTACATTGTCTGATTTAGAATGTGATTACATTAATGCTAGATCATGTTGCTCGAAATTAAACAAGGTAAGATATTTCTTTACTCATTTTCTGTGTTCGAGGTTGTTATCGATAACCAGCAAAAGTATGTTTGATTTTGAAGTGCATTGTTTCTTACTCGTTGGAATGTCTGCACAGCTACTGTGTTTTGGCAGTATTTTAGATGGTGAAACTATACTGGAAGACCCCACTTGAAATTTTGTTTCTTCACTCTGCTTCTGCCTGGTCCCTGTGTCCATAGGTACTTTAGGACACAAAGGCTTGTTAGGAGGATAATCGTTCTCCCTGCTCGTGACTAAAAAGCTCAGTCTGTGTTTTGTTCCATAAAAGCATAAAAGATGACCTTTTTTTTGCGGCTTGCTGAGAAATGGAATTAGTTGATTTGTTTCAAGACCAGTTTCCCGTTAGTGTGTGCTCAAAGATGCTCTGCACTGCAGTTTGTCTCGGTACAGGGAAACCGGTTAGTCCTGATTCACTTTGCGAGCTGAGCAGACAGAAGACTCTAGATAAAAGTTCATGTCATAGCTCAGTAAATACTGCGGGGAGGTGCTCTTGGCTTCACCTAGAAGTTTCTCATCTGTATCTGCTTCTGTTTCTCTGGCCCATGAGGGGTAAAGAGTGACATTCGGGTATTGACATTTCTAGTAAACTATATCCCTCCTCTTCTTTTTTTTTTATTTTGAATTTTCCAGAATGTGGTTTAATAGATAGATCTACATAGTGATAGTGATAGATAGAAGTGATAGATCTAAATAAAAGATTTTGTATTTATCTGCCAAACTGCAAGACTTTTTTTGTTTGTGTTAATATTTTTTATTTATTTCTGAGAAACAGACAGACAGCATGAGCAGGGGAGGGTCAGAGAGAGGGAGACACAAAATCTGAAACAGGCTCCAGGCTCTGAGCTGTCAGCGCAGAGCCCGACGTGGGGCTTGAACCCACGAACCATGAGATCATGACCTGAGCTGAAGTCGGTCGCTCAACCGACTGAGCCACCCAGGTGCCCCACTGCAAGACTTTTTTAAAAAAATAGAGATGTAATCAATATTATATTACTTTCAGGCCTCTTCATCTTTAGAAGAATGGTTATATATTTTAGCAACTGGGTTGTATTTTTTGTTTGTTTGTTTTATTTATTTCTGAGAAACAGAGAGAGAGACAACATGAGCAGGGGAGGGTCAGAGAGAGAGGGAGATACAGAATCTGAAACAGGCTCCAGGCGCTGAGCTGTCAGCACAGACCCTTACGCAGGGCTCAAACCCACGAACCATGAGATCATGACCTGAGCCGAAGTCAGACGCTTAACCGACTGAGCCACCCAGGCGCCCCTGTATTTTTTTTTTTTTTTTTATGATTATTTTGAGGGAAAGCTTGTGTGCATGTGCATGTTGGGGAGGGACAGGGAGAGAGGAAGAGAGAGAATCCCAGGCAGGGTCCATGCTCAGCACAGAGCCCGACACAGGGTTCGATCTCACAAACCGTGAGATCCTGACCTGAGTTGAAATCAAGAGTCCAATGCCCAACGGACTGAGTCACCCGGGCACCTTCCCCTCTTTTTTTCTCTCTTCTCTTTCAACAACTTGCACGAACTATATAATTCATCTGCTGGATTATCTGCCTTTTGTTTTAAAAAATTTTTATCCCTTTGGTTTTTTTGTACCTTTTTGTTTTAAGATTCCCTCTGCTTTATCTTCTGATCTCCTACGAATACTCCATTTACAGCAAGATTTTAATTTCTGAGGCCTTGTTGCCTAGCTCTGGTGTGAGTGTTCTAGCCATCTGAGAATCTCAGTTATAGCAGTTTTGAAATTTCCTTCTGTTTCCTATGTTATATGTGTTCCCTACAAGCTCCTTTCCCCTTGTGTTTTCCCCTCTCATTTTGCGGGGGGGGGGGGGGTCTTCTTAATTTCTGGTACACGGGCGTCTATTCATACTTAGGGTAAAGCACATACAGATTCACGGAGGCTCTGTGCATGGGCCAGGCTGTGCGCCGACCTGCAGGTAGAGCAGCCTCACTGTGGGGCGATTGGCGCTTACCTGGACCCTTGTCAGGCAGTTGTTTGTATGTGTTTTCTCATGTGCCATTCAGTTACTCACAGGAGCCCTTTCCAGGCTCCCGCCGGGGGGCTGTAAGCCCAGTGTGGGTGTTCAGAGAGCAAGTTAGGGGGAGAACACCTTGCTGGGGAGGGAAGACCATGAAAATCAGGGCTTGGTTGAAAGTAAGTAAAGCAAAAGCAGAAGAAAATGACGTGTCGCTTCCTAAGACTTTTGCCTCTGGTTTGTGGCTGTAAAACAAAGTTGACTGCAGCCTAAGGTAAGAAAGCCTGTTTGGAAATGACCACTGGGGGCGGAGGGTGCAGCTGGTGGTAGTGGCGCTGGTGGTCATGGTAACCCCGCTGTGTTTGCGAGTGCTGGCTCTGCGTGTGGCTCACACGGGCTGCCTCGTCTAGTTTGCAGCCTCCTCAGGTGTGGGTGTCCTCGTCCCCAGTTTACAGATGAGCAAATCGAGGCTCAGAGAGGGGGAGCAACCTTTCCTACCCTGCATAGCTGATAGGGGAGAGCAGGGATCCCGCTCCAGGTATGATTGACTTCGCAGCTTACCTGTGTAAGCGTTGTGCTCAATTGGTTACACTTCAGAAACTCCACGTTACATTTTTAAAAGTGTGTTGATTGCAAATTAGGTTTAAGGCCTAGCACATCCCTTCTTTGTTTACTGAAAGAAATATCTAAAATCGAAATGCAAGAGACCTGGGGCCAGTGTGTTTGGACTTACATGTTATTCAGCCACTAAGGAGCTTTGTGACCTGGGGCAGATTACTTAACCTCTCTGAGTTTTGCTTTTCTCATTTCTGCAAGCAGCAGTTTGTGTCTGCGTAAGTGTTCCTATTAACTTCCGTGGAAAGGAAAATCTCTCCTGGTAGGAGAGGAAGCTGGTGGATGGAGGACCTGCGGCCACAGCTGTTGGCGCATGAGCAGTAGAGTGCTGCGCAGTCAGCAGCACGCACGTAAGGGCCCGGGTGCCCTGGAGCCCTTCACACTGTTACTGTGAGCTGTTAAAGTACCTGTGTGTGTGTATGTGTGTGTGTGTGTGTGTGTGAGAGAGGGTGTGTGTATGAGAGAGAGAGGGAGAGGGAGACAGAGAGACGGAGAGAAAGGAAGAAAGGATTTTCCTCAGGGTTCTGGAGATTGGAACATATTTAAGTTGCTATTCTGACTTGCAATGCAGTGTATATTTGGATATAAACCACCCCTATTAGAGTGAGGGGCTTTGGTACAGACCTTGGAATAGCCAGTGAATGAATGATACTCCATTTTTCCCCAGTAGTCATTCATACCTGCTTGGTGAATGAATCTGGACCTTTGCTGAGAATAAAACATCATTGCGATTTAAGTGCATTATTTTTGAGCGGTGTGTGACATGTTTGCATGGCGTGAGCGGTTACAGCTCTATGCAGATCTGGGTCATCGGAGTCTAAAAATAAATCTTGTTACACCAGCTTGTACACTCTGTGCATCTCCATCGATCTAGCATCAGCTAACACGGACACTCAGGGAGCACGCAGCAGGGCCACGAATGCCGTGTTCTTCCCTTGCAGTGGGTCATTCCCGAGCTGATCGGCCACACCATCGTCACCGTGTTGATGCTCATTTCCTTGCACTGGTTCATCTTCCTTCTCAACCTGCCCGTTGCCACTTGGAACATCTATCGGTGAGTATAGTTTGTTTACTAATGCTTTGTGTCCTGGCAGTTTAAAGCAGAATTAAAAAGAAAAATATAATGCTCTTTTCCTGCAATAAAATACATGTCAGTCACGAAATAAAGGACAGCAGAATCCCACGTGAAGTCAGCATAAATCCCTGTTTACTTGGTGGATGGGGCAAGTAGCAGTTTGCATGGTCTGGTCTTATAGTCAGAACACAAATTTATGTGCATAAATTATAAAAACGTGTAACATTCAGTTGTGATGTCTAAAGACGTGTGTTTTCCGTTAAGAATGGTCAAAAGCCAGGGGGGCGCCTGGGGGCTCAGTTGGTTAAGTGTCAGACTTTGGCTCAGGTCATGGTCTCCTAGTTCGTGAGTTCAAGCCCCGTGTTGGGCTCTCTGCTGACAGCTCAGAGCCTGGAGCCTGCTTCCGAATCTGTGTCTCCCTCTTTCTCTCAGCCCCTCCCTCACTCTCTTTCTCTTTCAAAAATAAATGAAGATTAAAAAACGAACAGTAGTAAGTAAGTAAATATTAAAAAGTGCAGTTAGAAGGAGGGGGTGTTGCTGGGTCAGAAAAGCGTGTGGGTCTTAAGGTCCTTAGTTTGAGTCCCATTTTGGGTGTAGAGATTACTTAAATAAATAAGACTTAAAAAAGGACAAAGAAAAGAGTAAAGGAGGGTGGGAGGAGGTAATGGGGAGCACAGGAGAAGGCTGTGAGGAGGAGGAAGTGAGCAGGTGTTGGGGGATGGATTTATAAAGATCATGAAACTGGGACCTGAGCCACGGAAGGGATTTTAAATCTCTGGACCTCTTTCCAAGAGGGAAACTATTACTTTTTCTTGTAAGATTCTTCATGCTCTCGCGTGGTCATCCCTGTAGACCAGCACCCTGACCTGAGCTCCGCGGGAACACGGGCCCCTGCCCCAGCGGCTGAGGTGCCACCCCACGCAGACATTGAGCATGGGTCGGTGTCCCTGTGACCCCACTGGGCGGAAAAGGAACTCGGGAGGGAGAGCGGGAACCCTGAGATTGCATCTCAGTGACACCCCAGCCCGCACGTCATCGTCTGCGACGACAGAGAGCCCCAGAGGAAGGGAGGCTCCATGCGGCTTCTGTCCGCAGTATCAAGTATGGTGGGAGGTTCTAGCAGGTTTACTGGCGGCGGGGACAGAAAAGTACATGGATTCTGTTTCCCGTAATCACAAAGATCGTGTGGGTTTATTGCCCTGATGATAGCAGTGATAGATTGACTGGCTGTTCACAGATTTACCTGCTACTTAGAAAGGTTAAAAAAAATCAACAGATGGGTCCTTGACCCTTTTCAGACACCTGCACTTCGTGCTTTTGGGGACGCAGACCTATGGGGAGTGGTCTCTGCCCATAGGACCGAGAGGCAAAACACTGAGTAACAAAATAAGCAGCGAGCTTCAGTACAGGGTGGGCGCGAGGTGGGCTGGGGCGCCCAGGGTTATGGGGAGGCCTCCAGCTGGCACCTTCCCAGGAGGGGGTGTCTGCGCAGAGTCACAGGGGGGGGAAGGATGAGGGAGCGCTGGGGGCCCTGAGGCAGACACATAGGGCGTGTGTAGGGCTGTTGGGTTGCAGGCTCGTAGACGAGGCTGCGGTAACAGCAGGTGGTGCCCCTCAGGATGCGCCACCCAGAACCGTGAGCATCGGGTCGCGGAGCTCACGTGCCCTGCAAGTACTGTTGGCAGACATTCAACAACTGCACATTCTCTGTTCCACATCTTTTTAGTACATTCGTACATGTAAGCAGCCAGCACCAGACTGGTTTAGAACATGCTCCTCACCCCAAAAGAAAGCCTATGCCCATTAGCAGTCTCCCCTCTCCCCTCCCCCTCCCCTTCCCTCCCTTCCTCTCCCCTCTCCCTCTCCCTCTCCTCCTCCCCTCCCTTCCTCTCCCCTGTCCCTCTCCTTTCCCCTGGCCCTAGGCAGTCAGCAGTCTACTTTCTGGCTCTCCTAAGATTACCTATTCTGTGCTAAGCTGTCGTACAGGAGACCTCAGTCTGTGCTCTTTTGTGACTGGTTTGTCACTAGGCACCGTGTTTTCTAGGCCCATTCTTGTGTGGCAGGTACTGTATTCTTCACTCCCTTTAGGGGCTGAATCCCGTTCCAGCGTGTGGATACACTGCATTTTGTTAATGCAGTTGATGGGCTTTCGGTTGTTTCTAGTTTCCGGGTATTTTGAGTAATTCCCCTGTGAACATTCCCGTGCATGTTCTTGCGTGGACACGTTGTAACTTCTCCTAGGAGTGGATTTGCCTGGTCATGTGATGACTTTACATTGAACTTTTTCAGGAGCTGCCTGGGGGTTCGCAAGCAGTCACACCATTTTGCATTCCCAGTAGCTGTGCGTGTGGTTCCTGTTTCTCCACATCCTCGCCAACACCTATTGTTGTGTGTCTCTTTTATTTTTATTTAAGTAACGTCTACCCCGATGGTCATGACCCCTGGGTCGAGAATGCCCTTCCGACTGAGCCTACCGGGCACCCCTGTGTCTTTTCATTTTAGCCATCTTGCTGGGTGTGGTATTTCCCCGGTGGCTGGTAATCCTGGTACCTTTTAATGTGCTTCGTAGCCATTCATGCATCTCGTTCCGTATACTTTTGGGCAGCGAAGCTGATGAAGTAAGTGGTCTTTGGGGAGGTTTTCCCAGGAGCATCGTGTGGGAAGGACCGGCTGGAGATGGGTGGGCCCAGAGGGCCAGGGCAGGGCTGTGATGCGGGTGTGCAAAGGACACCCACACGTGAGAGGGAGGGCAGACAGAGTCTGACGGCGCGGCCAGGACCCAGCAGGAGGGGGCTCTGAGACGGAGCGGAGGCGGCCTCTGGACACTCGGATGTAAGAACCCTCTGCTCAGCTCTCGGGTTCTTGGGGGCAGCAGGGTTTGGGGGTGTTAAGTTTGTGGAACTCAGGGGGCATTTGCGTTTCACAGACGTCAGTGTGAGAACCGCGCATGGCAGGAAGGGGCTGACACGCGCGAGGTCAGGGCACGTCCTTGCACACATGGTCCCAAGGGGTGTTGAAGCGGGTCGACGCTCCCCAAGTGAGCCGGTTCCTCTGCTGCAGCGCGTCGTGTGGGGAGCACCTGCTACACACGCAGCCATGGGAAGGAAGCAGGAGAGCCTGAGAGACCCCTGGCGAGTTAAACACGGGGCCTTCAGGATTTTTTTAAAAAGTCGGAGTCCCTCCCGAGTCTGGGGACACTGGGTCGAACTGGTCTGGTGTTGGAATGCTGTGCGACCTCACGGTGCCCTCTCTCCCCATGGCTTGTGGCCCTGCTCCTGTCCCCACTGCGGCCGCGCCTCCACTCATACGCAAAGGACATTTCTGATGTCAGAATATTATCACTTAACAATACCGTGCACTTCACCTGTTGTTTTAAGGGTTCCGTAAAGTGAGACGTTACATGCTGAGTCTGAACTATTTACTGTCTGAAGAGGGGTTTTGTGTGACCGCAGAAGCACTCACGCTACAGCATTTCCCTTCGGCCTTCTCTAAATTGTGTTTGTAAACTGGGCCCCGTTCATGGACCCTGTGGGTGGAGGCGCGTCATCTCGGGTCAGCAGGAGCCTCTCTCTTTACGGTCTTCTGTGAAATGGGAAAATTGTTTGACACTCCTCCTCCTCATAGGTGTTCTGGGGGAATTGCATTAATTATGTCAGAAGTTTCTAGGTAAAGAAGTTTCTGGGGCACGTGGGTGGCTCAGTCGGGTAAGCATCCAGCTTCGACTCAGGTCATGATATCGTGGTTCATGGGTTCGAGCCCCGCATTGGGCTCTGTGCTGACAGCTAGCTCAGAGCCTGGAGCCTGCTTCAGATTCTGTGTCTCCCTCTCTCTGACCCTCCCCTGCTCACACTATCTCGGTCTCTCAGAGATAAATAAAAAACATTTTAAAAAATTTAAAAAAAAAGTTTCTAAGAACCTGATAAAGTTGGTTTGGTTTTGGAGTCCCCTCCACTGTGTCTGCTGGAAAACGGCTGTAGGTAGGGCCGGTTTAGGAGTTCTCTCCAGCTGAGTAAAAGGGTCTCAGCATAAAGTACCCATCTCTAGAGCGTTACCTGATTTGTCCGAGGGCAGAAAATTAACACTCCACATTAACAAGTGTTGTATCTTTCAGAGGAAACCACATGGTGGCCCGTGACATCGTTGTACGAGTCTGTCCGTGTCGGGTCGGAATTCAAGGCCTCTGCAGTCGGTCACTGGAAAGGGCTGCTTGTTGTGAATATTTGTGCTGATGACCGGATTTCCTTCTGTCACTTGTGCATCAGGTTCATCATGGTGCCGAGTGGTAACATGGGGGTGTTCGACCCGACGGAGATCCACAATCGGGGTCAGTTGAAGTCACACATGAAGGAAGCCATGATCAAGCTCGGTTTCCACTTGCTCTGTTTCTTCATGTATCTTTACAGGTGAGTTCCCGGCCCTCCTGGCAGCTCCCTACACGGTCGCCTGCTCACAGTGGGGGGCACGTTACTGTGCTGTGGGTTCTACATTGTCGCTGCGGAGCCTTGGGGGAGCCTGTGGAATTCTCGCAGCCTGACTTATGTCATTGGATCAGCGATCTGTCTGACCTGCCGTGGGTACTCGGGGTGTTAGTTTCTCCGTGGCCACGGAAGCCGTCCCTGTGCCTCATGCTGACTTTTATTTTTTAACTTCCCTAATTTATTTTTTAAACGTTTGTTTATTTTTGAGAGAGACAGAGTGTGAGCAGGGGAGGGGCAGAGAGAGAGGGAGACACAGAATCTGAAGCAGGCTGCAGGCTCTGGGCTGTCAGCAGAAAGCCTCATGCGGGGCTCGAACTTATAAACTGTGAGATCATGACCTGAGCCGAAATTAAGAACCAGATACTTAACAGACTGAGCCACCCAGGCACCCCTTTAATAATTTTTTTAAAAAGTTTACTTATTTTTGAGAGTGAGCACGTGAGCAAGGGAGGGGCAGAGAGGGGGACAGAGGATTCAAAGGGGGCTCTGCGCTTGAACTCACGAAACAGATCATGATCTGAGCTGAAGTCAGACACTCAGCTGACCGAGCCCTCCGGGTGCCCCTTGTCAAATTTCTAGCACCGGGATCTCACACAGGTCCTGTCTGGCTCACCTGCCACATGGCGGACACACACATCCGTCCGTGTTTCTTACATAGAATGAAAGGGAAAAATGTCGTCTTCTTTAGATAGTGGTGAGGGTCGATGCCATTGGTGTTTTGCTTAGTTGCCGGCCTCGTGTGGTCTGGGGGATGCTATTTACTGCATGACCCAGGGCTGGTTTTTAACCTCTCTGTGCTTCAGGTTTTTTGTCTGAAAATGGGATAGTATCTAAAACCTACCTTACTGGATTTGATCTGGACTAAATGAGAGAACGCATGTAAAGCACATAGGTTTGTGCTGACCGGCCGTAAACTCCGAATCTTCCACAGGGATTAGCTGCTCCCGTTAATCTATGCTGTGTACGGACTACACTTGGTTAAATTTTTTTTAATGTTTTGTTTATTTCTGAAGGAGAGAGAGAGAGACAGCATGAGCAGAGGAGGGTCAGAGAGAGAGGGAGACACAGAATCCAAAACAGGCTCCAGGCTCTGAGCTGGCTGTCAGCACAGAGCCTGATGCGGGGCTTGAACCCACAAACCGTGAGATCATGACCTGAGCCGAAGTCTGACGCTTAACCGACTGAGCCACCCAGGTGCCCCTGGTTTGGTTAAATTTGGACAACGAATCACACCATCGGTGACGCGTGATGGGGTTTCTGTGAAGTTTGGTCATCTAAGCAGCAAAGAAAATGGTGGTAGTTTCATTGGCTGCTGTTAACTGTGGTGGTTTTAGCTGAGTGCTTACTGAGCGCCTACTGAATGTCAGACGCTGTCTGGCCGTGTAGGCGGCACCCGGAGCAGCCCGGAATCCTGAGTGGAAGTGGGGGGCCTGCCCGGTGCACCGCAGGGTTGCGGGATGCATGTGTGAGAGAATTAACGTTTTGTTTGCTTTTCTGTATTTGTTCCAAACTGTAGCCCAACATTGGTTTTAGGTGGTTGTCCTCCCACCCCCTCCCCAGTTATTTTTTTCTAAGTGAAAAAAATTAGGGCTTTGAGAGGCCTAAAACACTTGTTTTAAAAGTTTATTTATTTAGAGAGAGAGCAAGCACAAGTGGAGGGAGGGGGCAAGAGGGGGAGAGAGAATCCCAAGCAGGCCCTGTACTCTTCAGCACAGAGCCCCACTTGGGGCTCGATCTCACGACCGTGACTGAGCCACCCAGGTGCCCCTCGACATTCTTTCTTTTATGTGTAAATGATTGTTCCTTGCTGAGCCTCAGAGGCACGAGTGTGGATGGACCGGACTGTGTAGGAACAGTGCTGAGGAGACGTCGCTAACACAAGTCTCTTCTCTCTACAGTATGATCTTGGCTTTGATAAATGACTGAGGCTGCCAGAGCCATCTGCACCACCGAGCGCAGTCAAGAAGCCAGAGACCATGTGAATCATCCTTAGAACCGTGACCATAGCAGTATATTTTTTCCTCTTTGAACAAAATAAAATATTTTTGCTGTATTTTTACCATATAAAGTATTTAAAAAACACGAATTGAGTTTTTGTAGATTTCTGGTTTTCCACTTTAGCCTGAACCCTCCCACGTGGTTCTCTTCATCTGTGTTGAAGTTCGGTACTTGTACGTAGCACAGCCGCCCCAGCCTTGCCTGCCGCCGAAACACAGGGAAGCCCGTGGGCAGTGGCAAAGGCAGAGCGCGGAGCGACACTGGTCCCCTAGGCAGAGGAGCAGGGTGTTACCCTTAAGCCTCTATCGCAGCACTTTGTACATTCAGTGCAGCTCAAAGGCTTATGAGACTGTCCGCTGAAAGCCTTCTCACAAGGATGTTAACAGAAAGGGACATTCAAAACATATATTTATTTGCAGAATTTGTAAACCCTTATAAGTCGTTTGCCTGGGTACAGTGTAATTCCTGCTTCTAGAAAGGAAAATAAATCAAAAAAGCAAAATTTTTGAGGCATTTTCATTTAAAGCCACAGCCTCCAAGGTCCGCCTCAGACCCCCATGAGCACGCTGGCTCCAGCCGGGTCCTGCCCTCCTGTCCCGGCCGCTCCCGCGGCATTGGTCTCTCGGGGGCACTGGTTTGGGGCAGTGATTTCCTACGAGATGCTCATCAGATTAGACCAGGAATAGCGCCGGTGGTCGAGTGACCATGGAGCCTGTCACCGCTCTGCCTGGGGCCCCTTTATGGCACCGATCGCCACTATGTGACACGGGAGACCCAGACGAGCCACTCCTGCGGGTGGTGGGAGCACCGGGGAGCACTGACCTCTCTGGCTCCTCCAGGTGAAGTGAGCCAGGCCGTTTCGTCGCTCCTGTTTGGTGCCCTAATGCCATGCTCTGAAGCGCTGGCTGAGCGCTGCTGTGGAGCCCAAGGGGTAAACCCGGTGTGTGGGGTCGGCAGTGACGGGTGCGGAGGGGAGGTGTCCTGCCCGCCTCCTGGGCCCCGACACGCCCTCCCTGCGGTATTTGCACCTGTGCTGGCGAAGGGCCGAGGGGCTGTGACCGAGAAGGTTCCTTTCTTACCTTTCCCTTTGGAGGCACTTGCCTGTTTGAGAAGAAAGCCGGTTCTCTGCCATCCTCCCTCCTCTCCCGTGGCTCCCAGTGTCCCCTCGAGTCCCAAAAGCGGTGAAGCCGGGGGGAGAACTCAGGCCCTTGGAGCCCAGAGACGACGTGTCACCCCAGGAAGCTCGCATGTGCTGGGGGCTGTGACCTGTGACTGGAGTGGTTTCCTTTCTCCCGCAAGCCTTCCAGGAGCTGAGCGGATGCCCAGGTGCTCTGACTTCTGACACGCTCACTGTGGTTACACCCGCACAGTGCCTGTCTTGTGTGGCTGGTGTGCGGCAGGGCTGGGGGTGACAGGCATGGGCGTGTATTTCTAGAGAGTGTTGCCCAAGTGACGGCCTCTCAAAGCTGTGGGCGACATGCTAAGGTCCGTGTGCTATGGCGTGTCGCTCCTGCTAGAGGTGACCTCGGAGCCCTGAGGTTGGCTGAGGCCACTCCTTCCCTGTCCGCTGGTGCAGGCAGGATCCAGGGGCCCCCGCTGAGTGCAGAGGAAGCCAGACCGCACACACCTGGGCCCCCAGGGACTCATGGGGACAGCACATGCACCCCTGCGCCCCCTCCCTCTCCCACACAGGACACAGCCCCTCACACTCAGCGGCAGTGAACTACTGAACTTCCAGCAGGAAGGCCCGACGGAGCAGCACCAGCCCAGCCCCACTATCTGTGTTCGAGGCCAGATTGGAGGCCGTGAAACCTGAAGCAGGGGTGGCGGAGTGTCCCGGGTGGCGTGTGACTGTCCCCAAATGTGAGTAACACTGTCCTGGTTGTGCAGGAACCAGCAGTGAGCTGGAGGAGGGTCTGAAGCCCCGCGGGTGCTGCCTAGGCGCCCGCCACCTGCTGTGTGCACTTTGGAATGAGGGACCGTTGCGCGGCGAGGTGACGCCCCACAAGGCTGATCTGGCTTCCGCTGTGAAGCCTCGTGGTTTTCAGCGGTGCCTTCTGTGGAAGTTCTGAAGGTGGTAAGTAGTCATAAGTAGTCAACTTGTTCTTGGTTAAATCTGTATCCTCTTTGGTTGGTCCTGATGCATCTAAATTCCCAAATGAAGGCCACCCAAAGTGGAAGGGTGGGGGGATCTGCGGCCGTCTCATCTGGACCCTGGGGGTCTCGGGGGCTGCTCGGCTCTGAGTCCGCTGCTCCTTCAATTCCTTGACAAAGGCTGATTCCTCGAGAAGGCCACTATGACAACTACTCCAGGTCCCGTTCCTAGGGGCCCCCTGGCCAGACCTGGCCTCAGCTCCTGGTCAAGTCCCTCCTTTGTTTTCACTGAAATTGATAATCTGTCAGTGACGGTGTGAGACGGAGTCAAGGTGGATGAACAGATCTCCTTTGACAGCTGATCCCATGTTTATTTTGCAGATTGGATGCATGCGGGGTGAGCGCTGCACCAGCAGGCCCTCCATCCTCCCCGTCAGGACAACTCGTGTGGCCGCACGGGAACACACTGACTTCTGAAGACAGTGACAGACTAGTCTTATTGGTGATTTTGTATCTCATCAGCTACAGTAATCGGTTGTGGGTATAATCTGCCCCCTACCTGCACTGTTCTGAAGTCAGACGGTTTTGAATACGAGACATCATTACATCTGTGCTATTTTGTCCACATCGCTGTAACATAACGGTTCTGAAAACACTCACACACGCGCGCGCGCACGCCCGCAGTGTCGATATCCTACGTAAACTAGTGATTTCTGGTCCAAAGTATCCGGTTGGTGCTCACATGTCCCCCGTTGGCTCACAAGTGTTTCTGTTGGTTTATTCACGCTAAGATAGATCTAAGCCAGATGTACACATTTCCTTTGTTGATGTCTCCTCCTCTGCCAGGTTCCTTCTCGTTTCCCGGCAATCTGTAGAGCGGCTGGGTCATGTGACCCAGGTCAGGTCAGCTCAGTTCGTGTGTTGTGCAGAAGCTCTGACATTCTGGATTTCACTGACGCATCATCTGTGCTGACCTTTCAGTCTGTCTTCAAGCAATTTGCCAAGTGGCTCCGTAACGCAGGGTGAGTGGCTCCATGCACACCCTGCGTTACGGAGCCCAGTGCCCAACACCGTTAGCTGTACCTGCCTGCAGGTCAGGGGATGCGAAGTAGCTTATCTGCATCAGCACACAGTGATCCAGTGATCGGATTTAGAGTCAGGCCTGATGACTCCAGAACCCATGATTTTAACTACTACTCTATAGATACGCGCACTCTGAAGACGTGCAAGCACACCGTGGGTGCTTTCATCTATAAAACTTCTGCGTCTGTTGTATTGACGGCTTTACTGATGCAGAGAGAAGTCTCGAGAGAATTTGAGAGTCATTTTCTTCTCTGAGCTGCGCAGTCAGCCAGAACAAGGGGGCCCTTCAATCTTCACCGAGCTTCGACAAGCTGGAATGGCTTTTGGACCAAAGGAGTTTGTACTTGTCGGTGCTTAAACATTGCGCTCAGAGGTGCCCAGTTTGGAGGCCCCGCGCCTGCAGACCAGTTCATTTGAGCCTAGGCCATGCCCCATGAAGCTGCCGGAGAATGAATGAGAAAGCACGGGAGGTGGCAGCCGGCGGCCTGGGTGAGTGCCCGCTGCGTGGGGACCTCCCTCCACACCAGACAGATGCGTGGTGTGGGGGCTGGTCCCTGTCCGTCCCCTTCTCGCTCCTGCTCCCTGACCTCACGGCCAAGGTTATGGGCTCAGGCTCCGCGCCAGCAGTGAGCGCCAGCCCAAAACACGTGTTCATAGATGTGACTCGCGGTCTGGAAGCAGAGCGGCTCACATGGGCCGGGATTTGGGAGAAAGCACAGGCTGTGGAATCACAGGGGGATTCAAACCCCAGACCCGCTGCCCGTGAGCCATGTTAGTCTCATGAGTCCAGGCTAGAGCCCCCACATGGAGGGGCGCTCTTGCTCACAAGGACTATGTAACACACACACCGTGCACATCTGGCACCTGGCAGACGCCCCGAGTACCCGCACGGGCGCCAGGAGGGAGAGCAGATATACTTGCTCGCAGGTCCTTTGTGGATAAGGAGATGGAGGCTTGCTGGAACGTTCTCTGCATGCAAGCCCACGAGTGGGGACAAAGCTCACCAAAACACACCAGCCTGCCTGGGAAATGCGCAGGCGCAGGCACATTCACTTAAAGTCTATTTTCTTTTGCAAACTGTAGCTTTAAGAGCCAGAAGACGGGGCCCCCACAGGGCTCAGATAGTTAAGTGGCCAACTCTTGATTTCAGCTCATGATCTTACGGTTCGTGGGTTCAAGCCCTGTGTTGGGCTCCGCGATGATGGTGTGGTGCCTGTTTGGGATTCTCTCTCCCCCTCTCTCTGCCCCTCCTCCACTTATGCGTGCTCTTTCAAAATAAATAAAGTTAAAAAAAACAATACAACTTCTACTCTTGGATTTGTGAAGGCTGGAAAATTCTTTATGCCTGGTACTGGGCTCTGGCATGAGAGCTTACATGTAAATGAACAGTTTCTGAGTCTGCAAAACCACGACGTAGCGTCCTACAAAGAAAACACATAGACTACCCCTGCCCCAGCTCTGGCGGCTGCTGACCACCCCATTAGCTGCCTGCCGGGTGCTGACCTGTCACAGGTGAACGTCCTTTGGCGCAGGACGCTGCCGCTGGCACAAAGCCCTTATAGGCTCTTTGCCTTTCTTCGTAAGCACACCTGTGCTGTGGGTTTGCACACACTGGGTGACTTCTCCTCAGAGACATTTACATTGTCTAAATAAGAAGTATGGAATTATTCATTAGGAATAAATTTTAATTTCAAACTGGAAGCACATTTCTACTCATCAACATACCTAATTTCATAATGCAGAATTTCAGATGCAGTAACATTTTTTAACAAAATGGAGCAGGCATGGAATTCCTTTAAAATCCAGGTATCCCTTAAATTTGTTTCCTAAACTAATCTGTCCATGATTCCCTTTAAACAAGACATTCCAGGAGCACCTGGGGGGGCTCAGGCGGTTGAGCGTCCAACATCGTCAACTTTGGCTCAGGTCACGAGTTTGTATTTCGTCAGTGCAGAGCCCGCTTTGGAGTCTGTTTCTCTGCTCCCTGGCCCTCCCCTGCTTGCACTCTCTCGAAAATAAACATTAAAATAAACCTCCAGGGAAACAGAGGGAAGTCAAATGCAGCAAATCCATTGTTTTAGGTTAAAAGTCGTACTATTTAAGCATTCAGATCAGTGGATATTAGAAGATTTAACACAGCAACAGTTTCTTACTCATTCTGTTTATTGGATTGAAAGGGAACACAAAGGACTGGTTAGGTGCTATGCACGGACACGGAAAAGGTGTGTTAAAAAAAAAATCCCAGGAAAGCAAATCAAAGTTAATGTAGTTTCAATTGAACAAAATTTAAAGACGTTTAATATACTACACATTTATAAAATTAAAGTTAACAAAGGGTGTTTTGTAAATAATTAGTAGAACAAGTGAAAATAAATATCCGAGACCTGAAGTTTTTTATGCTTTAATGAGATAATAAAGCAAAGAATTTTAAACTACGAAATATAATCTGAGAGGCAGTTTAAAAAAACAAAAAACAAAAAAACCCCCAAAAAACAGAACCCCCCCCCAAATTTAAGAACACAATCCTTGGATTGGAAACACTGAATCAGTCCATAGCGATGGTTATTACATACCGAAAGCTCTAAGTGTTAACTAGTTCCACCACAATGCCGGGTAAATCTTGACAATTTAGGTATCTTGAGATCAACACTTAAGTTCTTTTCCCGATCTCTACAGCTTGGTTTGTAAGTACGCACATGCTTTTGTGGATCTGTTCCCCTCACCACACACACAAGTTTTCAAGGAGCCAATGACAATTTTTCCATCTGTGTCTAAAAATGTTACAATTCGGTTTTAGCACATTGACCCTGATAATGCAAATGTCTGAGTTAAGCGTGGGGACACATCTCAATCTTATAAAAATATACCAGTATTAACCAGACCTTAACTTCAGAGAGGGCACTTCACATGTGCACGAGACTTTGTAAAATTGACACAAGAACCCAGAAAGCTGTTTCTAGGGCTTCTGATGAACTCAGTACGCTCTCTTCCACACACACAACATGCACACGTTTTTATGCTATTAGTTTCACTCAATCTGGATTGAGTGAAATTCAGCCTATCTGGATTAAGTAGACAGGGAACAGGCTTGTACAGATTTTGTTTCTGCAACTAGAGGGAGGCCACTGTAACAATAGCTCATGACACTGAAAACTTCAGTTCAGTTCACCCTGTTTTTAGAAAGTGTTTATGTGTAAATAAACACAAATTCACCTCTTCGTTTAAAGTGAGTTTATATTAAATCAGGTCTGGTTTTGAAAACCCAAGGAATCTTTGGGAAAGTAACGCTTAAAGAGAGTTGCTGAAGTCTAAATGAGAAATTAAAACTAAAGCGAGGTACGTTTATGCTTTAGAGATGGGACAAAAAGGATATTAAGAAAAATGTCTTCTTTCCTCCCCATTCAAAAGCTGCCATTCTTCTGCTGTGAAAGAACGTGACAGAGAGATTTCCCTCTCAAGAGATGTACGATACATTTACCACCGTGAGCAGAGGTGATAGGTCAGCTCTTGTGTGCAGGAAACAACACCCTAAAAAAGAAAATTTCAAGGTGGGGAGGGGTGGGGAAGAAGGGTTTTCTATTAATGTCACGGACGCCACTCTAGAGGGAGAACACACCTAAGAACAAAAAAATCGTATTTCTACGAGTGTGATTTCAGACAAATGTTGACAGAAAGTTGGGATTTTTTTTTGCTTTCAACTAGGCAGATGACTTTAATCATTTAGTTTGTATTTAAAGTTAGGGAATTCCTTTTTGCTCTCCCACCCACGAACACAGGCCCATCTATAGGGACGCTGGCTAGTATGCTCTCCTATTTTAAACGACTTACCTGGTTTAAACACACATGTTTACCTGGCCTAGAAGAGCAGCGGGAACGCAGAGGGTAGGAACACTGACGGTACAAACCCCAGGCCAAAGCCGTCACCCCTCCCCGCCGCCACCTGACCTCTTCATTGCCACCCCCACCCACTCCCACAGTCCTCCGCTCCAACACTGTACTATCGACCACCGGTTGTTTGGAGGAAAAGACATTTAATATCATACTTGCTCTGCCCTTTATGAACAAATGAGAACACATTTTTAAGCACATGGAAACGAGCCTACTAACCTGAGTTTTGGAGCCCAAACTCTCCACTCTACTTTTGATCTATGTGCAAAAAGTATTGGTACTTTTCAGTTTCTATGTTAGCATGTCGCGCCAGCTTGGCGGTCCCCTTAACTCTCGGGCCTATGCAGAGACTAGAGCCCTGTTGGAGCTGGTCACCTCATAGCTACGGGTCGCCCCGTCCTGCTGCCAGGCTCTTTGCCTCGCCTGCCCTACGGGACCCCGCGCGGCAGGTGCAGGGCACGGCGTGTCTGGGTGGCTGAGGGCTCACAGCCCCTGAGACCTTGGCACCATCGTTCTTCTGTGTTCTCTGTCAAGTGGGCCTCCCTTTTATCCGCTCTTTCAGAGTGGTCCTCAACTACGTGGGGGCAGTCGGGTGAGGCGAGGAGTGGAGGGCTGAGCCCCACCACTGGGCGCCCATCTTGGGGGTGCGCTGGACCTAACCTGTCAGCAGCTGTGGCGTTTCCGTGCCCACATTTTGTTATATCTGCTGTGGAGACAGGGGTGCGGTAACTACCGGCCTCAGGGCAGAAAACATGACTGGATTTAACTGAACTGGATTTAACTGAACTACGGTAAAGAGAAGTTGCCACTGAATTATATACAGTTACCAATGAAGATTTTTATTCAAGCTTAAAGTAAGAAGTAATCTTAGTTAAGAAAAATGAAGTACCAGGTAAACTGTAACAGGTGGTTATCGTAACTTATAAGTATCAAAACAGGAATTCTTGATTCTCTAAGTGGAGGTCTCTGCAAAATGGAGCTTAAGGAAATCTTTGACATACCAATTTGATAAAATGACCTGCTGACCACAGTCTGTCACTTCCTGTTGCTATGAGCTTTTGGGAGAATCCGTGCTATTTTAAGGCCAATTGTGGTTTTCTTTCGTCTCCCCTCCCTGACACCCCCATGGGAGAGTCCCCGACACCCAAGCCTTTCCTCGCTCTGCTCTGCGGGTCCCGGGCCCTAGAGGGGACTTGGCATAGGCCCTTGTCCTCGCCAGAACCTCACCTCGGGGGCGCTGCCACTCCTCCCCCACCGTAACAGCCGTGGCCCCTTTGACCCTCTGCGGGAGTGGGGAAGGGTTTCAGAGGAGATCAAGTACGCTGTGCCCGGCTGTGGTGGGGTTTAAAAGCACAATGTGAACATCAGGCTTTTGGCTTCTTTTAACTGTGAAATTCTCGAGATTAAAAGTGCTTTTCCATGGAGAAAACCTCTCCTCGAGCTTCCAGGGAAAGGGGAGGCAAAGACTACCCACAGCACCAGTTTGGAATGAGGTTCGGTATGGCAAGATCGGAGACACTGAGGAGCGTTCTGTACGTTTATGTCCCCCTGTAGGTCAAAATGTTAAGGGCAATTCAGATACAGGGCTCTGAGGTTTTAAACCCGGTTCCGGTCTGTGGCCTGTGGAGTCTTCTAACACACTCCACCCTACTATGAACTTTCCCGGTGGTCACACCTGCTTTCCACTTGGGCTGGACCCCCGTCAGAACAGCCTCCCAAGTGGGGAACAGCTTGGAACGTGCTCTAGGAAAAGCTACGCTGACTCACTACCAATCTCTCCTATTGGTATAGGTTTAAAATCCTCTCTTTTTGAATCTTGAATTTCTTCGACATCAGGTACTGATGTTCCTTCAGGGAGAAAAAAAAATGGAAGGGGCAAACCTTCAAGGGATTACTCTGGATTTCCTGTGTCACGTCCTTCCAAGCTCTGGTTCTGACCAAGTCTCACGTGGGATTCCGGAAGAGTACTGCGTATCTAAGTCATACAGGAAACTCTTTTAAGCTGGTTTAGATTCCAAATGTATACAAATGAAGTCACTTTAATCCTATAAATACTTCTTAATTTATTTTTAAAAAATTGTGCTGTTAACCCTTTTACGGGGCAACAAGCTATGTGAAAAGTACAAAACTTTTTGTCAAATGTCATATTGAGAGTGCTTTTGACATAGTTCACTGGTTTGTCATCTGGATCAGTATCTACTGCGCAACGGGCAAAGGCTAGAATCCATGAACCAAGCTGCAAAGATCTCAAGCTAAATAAGGCGGAAAGATCTGGAGAAACAAAAGGAGGAAACTCTTTCCTATCCAATGTGTACTCTTCAGACTAATGCACTCCTTCTATCAAGCCTTCTAAACTGTTAAATAAAGTTTTCCAAACAAGCATTTAAACTTCATTACACAGAAGAGCAACAAGAATGGTGTCCCACCAGACAAAAGGCAGGAGGGAAAACAATATATATACGGAGTTCGGTGGGTAAGCCTGAATGTAGCACAGTCCTTCACAACCGATGGGGGCGATTCGACATGGCGTCCAACAACGTTCTAACGACGTGCTTCATCTCAACTGGTTACTATGAAGCAAGGTGTAAATGTTTGGCCCCAATCGGGCTTCAGAAATGGTTCTTTTTTTCATGACGAGCATGTCTGTCCAGCTATCAATCATGTTTGTTTGCACCAAATCCCAAGCCATTAAAATACGACTAATTTTAAGTTAAACAGAAGCCGTCTGCTCCACACTCGCCATCAACTATCCATGCTACTGCATTCCTCTGAATGGAGACAAGACGAAATGTGTTTGGGGTAGGGAGAGGGGGCAGGGGAGAGAGGGGAGGGGAAGAAAAAAGTTACCAGTTAGTAAGTTTTAATATTGGCATCATGACATTACAACACATACTCCCACTGAAAAACGATCACACCAAGGCACACACTTGACATTTCCAGCATAATCATTACAACGAAGTGTCTGTCTTATGTCTCAGCCTAGACAGGAATGTCTAAATTCATTACTCTGGAGCCCAAGTGAACAATCAAGCTAGACTCTCATGGACTTCTGAGGAGGGCCTTGCTTCGCTCGTCTCAAACTGTGCAGTCGTCAGCCTCCCCTTTCTGGCTGTGGGTCTACCAGCTTTACGGCCAGAATTCACGTTCCACACAACACACCCACTTAGAGCACACCACTCAACAGCTATTACTGGCACATTCACAGGACTGTACAACCACCACCGCCAACAACTATAGAATGTTTTCACTCTGCGCTGGCACTCATCTGCAAACACCAGCCCCCGCCCGTCTACTTTCAGTGTCTGTGGGTTTGCCTGCTCAGGACATTTCAGACAGAATCACACTAGGCGGTCTTTAGTGTCATCCATGCTGTAGTACGGGTCAGTGCCGGACCCTGTTCCATTTTCTACCTTCCTCAAAAAATATAGTGTGGAGCTCCACCATTATAACCATTAAAAGAGAAGTATCTAATGGAGTCATGGTTTTTGGCTATCACTTTCTTCAGCCTCACCTTCAAAATTTCTATTCCAAACAGGTGTTAATTAGTAAAAAAAAAAAAAAAAAAAAAAAAAAAAACAAAAAAAACAAAAAAAAAAAAAATTCTTTAAGCGGGGGGAAAAGAACCAGAAGAGAGCTACCTAGAAGGCCTACAGCCACATAACTGGTTATATGTCTATGGAAGCGGTTTTTCCGTTTTAGGGCCCTCTCTATACGGCTCTATCGATGCTGCTAAAATCCGAGGCAGGTTGCTGACCTGGACCAGATCTCACAGACACACCACATCTGGTGTGTCCGCATCAACTAAACCCACGGAGTGGCAAAGCAGCTCTTCACTGGATAGAGACAGAAGCTCATAGGTGTGTCTAAAATAAATCCACTTAGAAGGTCAGTATGACAGTACAGACCAAAGATTCTTCTGAGCCTTCAAATCTTATTTAAAGAGATAACTTCCAAATGACTGAGGTTAGAAACGTGCAGTGATGGACGCATGCAATGTCTGTTAGAGTGCTAGCCCAGAAATCGCATCAGGACAACAAATGGAGGCGGAGGCTGCATCCTCATGGCTTTCCCAGAGGCAGCGGGTCAGCCAGGTGGTGACGCATAGACCAATGGCCCTTCGGGCCCTAAACCACTGACAGTGGTCTGCAAACTTCACCCCTGTCAACTTCAGGCTCCTTATTCTCATCTGACAGCAGCTGGACGCCTTTCTTGCTCAAACATTTAGGTGGAACAAATCTCTTCCCGGTTTTCTAGGTCAGGGACTTCCTTCTAAGCAAACAAAATACTCTACTTGCTCCATTTGAAAGCAGAGCAGTATAAAATTTCTCATGCCTTCCCTCCAGTGACAGTGTCTTGCTCAACGGAGCTTCCTCGCCTTGGGCCTGCTTCATCGCCAAACATTCCGAGGTGGTGGGAAAACCCTTTTGGACTCAGGACTCAAAGGCTGGCAGCATTCAAGTGAGGCTTGCCCTGACTCTGTCTAGACCCCTCCAGAACTGAGGGTAAACGTATCTCTCGGAGGGCCGGGAGGATTTACGCAAGCCCACACATGCACAACTGGGCTGGCACGCTGCCTGGCCCCGAGGTCTGGGGGAAATTCAGTTTCCTTCCCTCTCCTCTGCACAGAGGCCAGGGTGCTATGTGGTGCTATACAGGTTTATTTTTAAGAGTAAAATCCATAATCAAGATTGTTCTAAAGTGGTTCAAGTTTTGTATACTGGCTAGTTTTCGTGGGTATAAAAGTAAAAAATGCTTTCTGCATCATGAAGCAAGATTTTCTATAGATTGTTGAACTGACCACAGCCAGTGGATGCGAAGGAGGTGGCATGTTCCAATTTATTCTCCCCACCGTTACCCTGCATGCACACCCCTCCCCCCCCGTGTGTCTCACATTACTTACACTCCTTCTGTGGAAGGAGAGAGTATACAGCCTCTAAATGAGGGAGAACATAAATCCTGTCCCACACTAAAAGTCCCGCAACTTTAGCCATTGGGGCAACGTTCCACTGGGAGGGAGCGCAGGCTGCTGTGCAGCGGCGTTACCTTCAATATTCTGGTGGTCTATAAAAGGTGCTGGTCCCCATATTCTAACAGTGCCGTCGTCGGAGGCGCTGGCCATCATGGACGGGATCTGTGGGTTCCAGCTCACACAGTTGACTGTGCGCGTGTGCCCTGTCAGCTCCGCGATGGGCAGTTCACTACGTTTGTGCCAGATGTAAACCTTGTGATCTGAATGAACGGCAATTCGAAGAAAAGTTAGGGAGCTGTCCTACTGATCTTCAGTTTATCATTTGTTACACACAGAACATGTGACATGATTATCAGGATTTAAAAAGAGATGTGACATGAGCAGTTCAATAAATTACCTTGTAAAAAAACCATTTTAATAAAATACACATTTTCCCCTGTTAAAGGTGCCTGATTAGCTCTTAAGTCATCACAAAACCTGCAATAGTGTGTAAGACGTGAATCGCAGTTCACAGTCCAGATCTTCCGATGTGAACAAATCTAGGGCAGAGATAATAAATGCTGGGGAAACTGGAGGGAAGAGAAGAGCAATGCGTCCAAATTCAGAAACAGCAATGACGTGGGCAACAGCAGACACCTCACAGGGTATCTGGCGCACACTAGGCCCTGGACGCTGTCTCCCTCGCCCCACGCGGCGCTGCTGTGCTCACACCCTTTCGGGGCTTGGGGATGGTTGGGGCTCTAGAGCCGCAACTATCCAATTCCCGACCGCCCTCCACCTCTGACCAGCCCCATCACCGTGGACAGGTAACCCGCTCCTGGTGATGCTTTCACTGTAAAGGAGGGACTGGACTTACCTCATCATGTAGGAGGGTGAAACTCATTTGTGTGTGAAAAAGAGTTTTGAAAAGAGCCCGGCACAGAGGAGACACCAGGTGTTACTGTGAAGTGATGGCCCTTAAACAGGGGGCAGAGTCCTGGCTGAGTTAGAAAAGGGTTCAACCTCAAGACGCACCACTAGTGGCCGGCATGGGAACTTCCGGCGGGGGGTGGTCAGTCCTTTGGGGGAAAGGACGTCTAACATGAAGATGCAAGGTAAGGCCGGGGTTGCCTCTTAGCGCTCTGCGTGCGTGTGTGAAGCAAAAGCTGAGACCCTCACTGGAGAACTAACGGGTCTCCCAAAAGGCGTGTGCTGTGCAATTCTTTCTCCTTGCACAAAAAGACAAAACACGGAGAAGACAGACCGGCAGATTAGCCATGCTTCCCCCGGAACTGGAGAAGCTCCCAAGGAAGGACACCACAGGCCTGCAAGTGTGAAGGCGCCTGCCAACTGCGGGGGGCACTCTGTGAACACGCACCCATGGAGCGTGTGGGCTGGGGCAGGGCTTGGGCTCAGAGCCATGGGCTTAACCGACCAAGCTCTGCCAGCCCCTGCTGTCCAGGGCACCCGCAGCTTGCGTGAGGGCAAAAAATAAGGCAAGTTATTTTTTGTATTTTTTTTTTTTTTTACATCGCCAGAACGATGACTAAGCTTGAGTAACAACAGAACTCCTCTGGGAAAAGGTTTCCTCACTGCTCTATTTCGTACTGGCATTCATGTGTTTGGGGATTTGGAAGGTCCTTAAAGTATTTTCCTTGCAAACGAATGACAAGCAAACTAACTAATGTGATCATCTCAGGACAGAAGACATTCACTATGTCCATGTGGTGCTCAGGGCGTTTTCAGAACCGGTCTACACCACCCGAGTTGTGAGAACGCGTATCTGGCTACTTCAGGTACATGTCACTTTTAGCCCCGAATGGAACATACTGTTGTTACGTTACTCATCGTTCAAGGTTCTTTCGGGGCCTAGAATAAAAGAACTGTATCACTAGTGATAATGTCAGCCAGACGGATTTCCGGGGGCTTCCAGGGCACATGTGACATTCGGAAAGGCTGTGAGGCCTAAGAGGGGACACAGGGCTGCGAGAGGCCTGGGGGGAAGCTGATGGGCAGGCAGAAGGCTGCACAAGCGCATACCAAGTCAGAGTAGGAGCCCATGCAGAATCCGGGCAAAAATAACATGCTTAAACTACCAGGGGAAAAAAAGGATTTCTAACTGGAAAGACTTGAGCTTTTCACAAATACCTTACAAACCACTCTTGTCTCTTCTCAATCTTACCTGATGTATTTTTTCTTTTTAGGGAAAGAAATAACTGATAAATTCATGTTTCATATGAATCCCTAAAGGTCTTTGTCCTGATTCTTTTTTTTTAAAGTTTCCTTTTGAGAGAGAGTGAGTGCAAGTGGGGGAGGGGCAGAGAGAGAGGGAGGGACAGAATCCCAAGCAGGTTCCACGCTGTCAATGCAGAGCCCAATGCAGGGCTTGAACTCACGAACCATGAGAGCACAACCTGAGCCAAAATCGAGTCAGACGCTTGACCGACTGAGCCCCCCGGGTGGCCCTGTCCTAGTTGGTAAGTGTATCTTGTACACAGAGGAAAGCTCCTGTGTTGCTCTGTGATCCTCTGTCTACTGAGATCAGGTTTTTGTTAAGACAGGTGACAAACAGCTTCTATGATAAATGGATTGTTAGCAACATAATCAAGTTCCTTGGTCTGGGTTGTAAAACTAGAGTCAGTATTTTTAAAAGTGACTTAAATAATTTGCTGCCCTAGTACTTAGACAGTAAGTGGATACTCAAGAAGAATGTGACCAATGAAAATTTCCAGTAATTTCCCATTACTTGTATTTCTATCACCATAAAAAGTACACTAACTTTTAGTACTTATTCACCCATCTGTGTTGCATATTTTAAACAATTTCTTTTATTTTATTTAAAAAAAAATTTTTTTAAATGTTTTATTTATTTCTAGGAGAGAGAGAGAGACAGCGTGAGCAGGGGAGGGTCAGAGAGAGAGGGAGTGACAGACTCTGAAACAGGCTCCAGGCTCTGAGCTGGCAGTCAGCACAGAGCCCGATGCGGGGCTCGAACCCATGAACCGCGAGATCATGACCTAAGCGAAAGTCGGACGCTTAACCGACTAAGCCACCCAGGCGCCCCAAACAATTTCTCTTTTAAATTGGATGGACTAATTTCTCTTTTAAATTGGATGGACTAATTTCTCTTTTAAATTGGATGGACTACTTTAGGAACAAGCCTGCCTGAAACACTGATATTAGCAGACTAGAGAGCACATTTACTCCGAAAGGCAGTAGAGACTGTTCTAGAATTTCAGCTTTTCTGAGACTGTAAGAATTATCAAACTAAATTATTCTCTTTGGCCATTAAAGAAACACTGAAACATCTAACTATCTAACTATCGTCAATTTTGTCTAAGTTCACGTAAATCATCATAATCAACTTGACTATTCAGATTCTACTAACCTCCAAACGCCACCAGCCTTGTGAAAAGAGCAGGCAGCATTCGAGTTTGTATTTAAGTAAACCTTGATTTGACACATGCACCAAGCACGCCCCCATGCGGCCAGAGCAGGCACTACTGATTTGGGGGGAAAAAGAGGATGGTCACTCCGCCAAAAGGGAAATGACCAGTGCTCTCCTACGATTTTTAACCATGTTAATACCCTGAATCTGCCTGGCGACATGGCCACCTTCACACACAGAGATGATCACAGAGCTCCCACTCCATCCGTACACACATGCCGACAGAGCACACGACTCACCCTCACTGCCACTAGCGATGAAGTCTTCGTTATGGCCTCCAAAACATGAATGAATTGTATAAAACCCTTGCGTGACACCTTGATACTTTCTTACTAAAACTCTGTCTTGCAAGTCCCATAAATGAACTCCCTGTAGGCAAAAGAAAACATATATTTATTCTACCTCAACTCAAAAGAATTTTATTTATTTTTTTATTTATTATTTTTTTAACGTTTTATTTATTTCTAGGAGAGAGAGAGAGAGACAGCGTGAGCAGGGGAGGGTCAGAGAGAGAGGGAGACACAGACTGAAACAGGCTCCAGGCTCCGAGCTGGCAGTCAGCACAGAGCCCGACGCGGGGCTCGAACCCACGAACCACGAGATCATGACCTAAGCGAAAGTCGGACGTTTAACCGACTAAGCCACCCAGGCGCCCCTCAAAAGAATTTTAAAAAGTTATCTGTGAATTCCCCTTTGCTTGATTGAACATTTTCAGTTTCAAGTTACACAAAATGCCAATGTGCTGATAAATCTATGGTGGACTATACACACTTAAGGGTCAAACACATGCAGTAAAATGTAAGAATCTGTAAAAACAGCAGTACTGGAGAAAAAGAATTTGTAGAAATATTTGTTTACACACGCACACACACACGCAAGCACACACCAACAATAGCACTTAAAATCTGAACTACACTAACTCTTGTGAGAATGACAATAAGCTTACCTGAGTTGCTACATTTAACAAAGCTAACCGGCCGTTCTTGGAAATAGTAAAAGACATAATGGGGTGATCTTCTTGTACTCTGTAACCAGAAAACAATCTGTCAGAAGCAACGTACTGAGAATTAAGACATTCAAATTATCAAAATATAAAATGTTCTACTAGCTTAAAGACCACAGTTCTGCCTATAATCAGCACTACACACTGCATTTTAATCAAGGAAGAAAATCAGAGTTTCTGGTTACTAAGCACCACTGGCCCCACCAATCTAAACAATCAAACCATGGGGCGCCTGGGTGGCTCAGTTGGCTAAGCATCCATCCGACTTCGGCGCAGGTCATGATCTCACGGTTCGTGGGTTTGAGCCCCTCATCAGGCTCTGTGCTGACAGCTAGCTCAGAACCTGGAGCCTGTTTCAGATTCTGTCTCCCTCTCTCTCTGCCCCTCCCCACTTGTACTCTCTCAGAAATAAACAAACATTAAAAAATAAATAAATAGTCAAACCAAACCCACAACATAAACTTGTCTTCTATAATAGCAAGTCCCACCACATACTTCTATATAAATCAACAAATATTTAACAGACACAAAAAAGAGTTACATGTTCCTATCTGTAAGATCCTCGAAGTTGTACCCCCGGATTCGCTGGTGTGTATCTGATGCCAGAACCGTCTTGCCGTCGCTCAAGCACCAGAGGCATTGCACTCTGACCCCTTCCCAGGAGTCAAGGAGGTTACCATCTAAATCCTGCAGAGAAAACCACTATGAGCCCCAGTGCTAAACAGTGTGTGGAAAACAAAGAACAGAAAGAATCTCTTAGCAATATCTTTCTGCAGCAATGCTTTCCCCCCAATCTCAACTTAATTGTTCCACAGCTGGTTTAAGTCACCAAAATTTGAATATAGGTCAAATTTCATTACAATAAAACTGTTGGGGGTGGCGGAGGGGTGGGGGGGACGAGAACCTCTGTAAAATCTATCTTTCCTTTTATAACCAGCCAGATACAGTCAAACACAGTAAATACAAAGAAAGAAAGAATCCCGGAATTCCAAGTAAGGGCCTCACTACTATTGGAAAAGAATTCAAATGCTCCTTTAAAATACATTATGCTAGGGTCTGTCCTAACTACTCAGAAGCTGAGATCCGGAGATTACCCAAATTGTAATTTCAGAAATTACTGGAACTGTAGCTTTATGGAACCCAGAATGCACTACAGTGCTTTAAAAACTTATAACGTGCTCCAACCTGTAATGTGCTCTACAGACCAGAGCTCTCAGGATCATTATCTTGTTGAATGTTCAAAGGTCAGAGAGATACCCTGTTCCCATTCCCCAGGGGCGCAGCTACCAAGTCCCTGTTCTGAAGGGGTCAACACCGTAGGGACGGCACGGTCAGCAGAGACATGGTGGGCATCTTGCAGCCAGTGACTCAAGAACAAATGGCTTAAATGCTGTCGCGTACAGCATGGTGACTAACTTGCAGACTGCGAGTTGTCCTCATGACGACTTTGGTGGTAGTGGACAATTACTGCGGTTTATAATGTTCAATGCACACGAATATCAAATCATTATGTTGTATGCTTGAAGCTAATATAATGTTACATGTCAATTATACCTCCATGAAAACAAAGCAAACCTGAGTAAAGAAAAAATAAAACTAGTACATTAGCCCTCGGATAAAAACTCCATTTAAAATATGGGAAAATCACGTACAGATCAATACACTGTGTTGAGACAATTGGGGACAAAAGAGAACCGAGGGCTTATAAACACGGGCCACTGGCCAGCCTAACGAAGACCCTGCGGTCTGTAATGACCACATAATGGTCTTCGTGAAGCTCCATCTCCAGCTACACTGAACAACCTATAGGACTCATGATCTTGTTTAATCCTGGTCTTAAAACCACGTCTCAAGGGCCCCTGGTGCCAAGCCTCGAGCAGACAGGGTGACGACTTTGCACCCTGGGTGGAGTCGGCCTTGTCACAGGACCTGTCGCCTAGTACATCTGCTCGTCAGCCCACCAATCCAGGATGCACAGGGCAGATGCGAATCAAGATGCTTCAAATAAAGACTGGAAGGTTCTCTGGTAGCTCTCCTCACCACTTTTAGTCCTCAAATACTTAAGGCAATCTACTCATGAAACTCAGCGTATTTTTGATACAATAAACCTAAAACCTGGAAAGAAAATTAGTAAAATATTTTCAATTCTATACATCAGAAACTTGTTTATGAGAACAAACTGTTCGGTAAAATAATTTTCTGTTTTACTGAACTCGAAGTCCACAGTTCGTATAAGAAGGAACACAGCACGGTCAGTTCTGTACATGCTCGTTCAGAACGAAGGCAAAGCAGTTTTCACAGGATGCATCTTATAAAAGATAACAGGGCAAGTGGATTCTTTATTTAACCATGACGACAAGCAGAGGCGCAGAAAGGCGCGCGGAATACTCACACACTGATAGAACTGGCCGCGCTGGCCTCCAGTCACGAAGCGCTTTCCGTCTGGGTTCCAGGCCACACTTGTTAAACTGTCCTCGTGAGACTGGCTCATCTTTGTCCTCAGCTCTCCCGTCTACGGAGAAAGGAAATTGTGGGTAAGACCTTCAGCTAGTCTTCTAAAGGGAACGTGTAAGAAGCCAACCGTGACTGGGCTGTCGGTTAGTTTAGGCCTCCTAACTGGAGGGATGGACTATTTTAACCGGCCTCACAAAAAGCAAAAGAACAAAAACACCACAGCCTCAGGAGAAGCATTAAGAACGTGATGAAAACTCAACGCTGCAGGCCCGTCCCTTCTGAGTTCCCACCGCCCCTTACTCCACAGCTCTTTACAGATTTTCTTCTAAAACAGCCATTAATGCCATCAGCAATTCCTCAAGAACATGATTAACAGATCGAAAAACTGTGCCCTTGAACTAGGGGAGGGGTGCAGGCAGTTCTAAATTATGTTAAACTTTGTATTTGAGATGCTCAAAATGTAGTAGGGAAGATGGGAAGAGAGAAATGAAAACTATTTTCCTGATATCTAATTTTTTAAAATTTATTTTCAGAGAGAGAGAGTGAGAGAGCGAGAGAGCGCACAAATACATGTGTGCGTGAATCCCAAGTAGGATCCGAACTGCCAGCAGAGAGGCTGACATGGGGCTCAAATTTACAAACCGTGAGATCATGACCTGAGCTGAAATCAAGAGTCGTATACTTAACTGAGTCATCCAGGCACTCCAATATCTAATTTTATCTCAATTAAAAGTAACAGAAAAGAAGAACTTTTTACTGTTTAGCATAGCCATTTTAAAGTATTCCCGACTACGAACAACTATTTAGTGGTTGCAACACTGAAATGTCCTCCTCTTATTTTTCTAGGTTATTCAGCTTAGAAAGCAGACCCATACCATTTAATCTAGTCTTAATTCCATTTTGTTCATGGATTAGAAACAGGCTCTGAGAGAGATTAGCTGCCCTTGATGTAACAAAAAGTACATGGGCATAACTTTCCTGTGAGAAATGGATAATCAAAAGTAAAAAGAAAAAAGTGAAAACAAAATATATAATCAGGAAATGGGGCCAAGTAATAAAAGCACAGAGGACACAAAACTAGAAAACCAGAATCTCCCTTACGCTGGGGGGGGAAAAAATGTCCAGCACCATTAAAACCTTCCCCCACATTGTTAATTGCTCTCACCTACTTAGCTTTTTGGGTTGCTTGAGAGAAACAGAAGTTTAGAACCACAAGTACACACACAAATGCTAAATCCTCCACACTTCCTGTCACAAACACGCCAGCATGTGTTCCTGCAGGCAGAAATGGTCCTCTGTTACGCTCAGGACAGTGCACGTATGATTGGGAGACAGCTTAAAAATATAAAGGAATAATGTGAACATGGACTAAGTAACGGGTCCATCGAGTACTCCACAAGCACAGGTGAGCAAGAACAGCATGTAGTGGTCCAGTAACTCAGGACTGACTCAAAGACTAGGGTCCCAGTAAATTCCGAGTCTGCTGCTGCAGAGCGAGGACTACACACACCTTCTCTTTGAGGGGAGAGAGCTTTAATGGAAAAAAACCTACTTGGTCTTTTAGAGAAGATTCACTTCAGGCCTGTTTTACTGAGAGAAAGCTGCCTATCCTCCTGTGCCTTGCCACTCCCCGAAACGGATCACGCGTGCGCACACACACCACTTACACACTGGTTTGATAAAAATGGCAGAAGACACTTGCAGAGCAACTGGGTGTGTTTGATCATGAAATGAACGTTAGCTATTAGAGAATTGATTATAGTTAACGTTGTTGGATTACGACAATAGTACGTATTATATGGGAGAACGTCATTGTTGAGAAGATATGTGCTTAAGTATTTGGGGTAAAATAGTCCATATATAATTTCCTCCCTAATGTTTTGGATGTGGATGTCTGTGAGTGCGTATGCACGTCTACATGTGTATGCACACATGTGCCCACACAGGACACAGAGAACGTTAACCGCTGAATCCAGGGTGCTGGGCTCAGATCACCAATGTATCCCTCTACTTTTCTTCTTAATGTCAGAATGTTTTCCTTGAGAAAGCGGGGGAGCAGTAAGCGAGCAGTGACAGAGCCTCCCGGGGCGGCAGCAGAGCGAGAGAGTGGCGGGTCACCTGTGGTGCACACTTCCGCCGAGTCTGAGCTCTACTCTCTCAGTAAAAACCAACTCACTTCCAGGCCCCCAAACTCCCAATCCTACCCCATCAACTCACATTTTACACTCAAACCACAGCCTGGACGACGCCCTGACCTTGGGTCAGAAAAATGAAAGGAACAGAATCGGACCAGCCATCTTGCAGAAGGAAGTCAACAAAACACAGTCCTTAAATCGTAACTATGAGGTTTCCAGAACAGAGGACAAAATTAACAGAGGGAACTTAATGCTAATTTTTAAAAAAATGGGACCCTGGATAAAGGCCAAGTTTTCATTTAGAGAAGGTAACAGAGCCCTTATTAGTAAGAACTGAAACTTCACTGTTTCCCAGATTAGACAAGAACATCAAACACGGGCGAGGAGATGACAGCCTGGCCACCAGGGTGAGAAGTCTGGACCAGCACGGAGGCCGTCACCTGACTGGGCCGTCCCATGTACATCCAACTATGAACCCACAGGGTCTCCTCGGTGGCGGGGGGGATCCACAGTAAACAATCCCAAGTCCAACATCCTTCCTTTTTTTCCAAACTCTATCATGGCTCAGCATGATATTTATGTTTACACAGTTGGACACCTGGGTTCCATTCGATGGATTCTCTTTGCTAAGGGGGCCCAACCGCTCTGCTCCACGGGGGGTCAGGCTAAAAGGAGCTTGTGTGTGTGCAGGACGTTTGTCTGTAGGGGCGGCCGCAGGCATGGAGCGCGCTCACCTGCACACTCCAGAGCCAGAGCTCAGAGCAGTCATCTGGGCCACACGCAACAAGGTAGTTGTCATCCGGACTCCACGCTATGTAAGAAACGCCATACGCGTGTCCTTCTAACGTCTTAAGCAGTTTTAGCAGATGTGTGTCCTAAGAGGGAAAAAGACCACTCGGTTAGAGTCCCCAGGGTCCACATCCTACTTCAATGAGCTGTGAGGGTATACTCTGAGAACACAATTCACTCTGAGGAGGTTTTCAGATTTCACCAATCTCCCCCCAACTGAAGCCCGAATAGCTTGCTTCATACACTCGTCCACAGAGCAACATCCAATAAGCATCCACCATGTACCAGACCCTGTGTGCTAGAGGCCAACATAAGCACGCAGGCCATTCCTGTGGACGCTCTCGGGGACACAGAGCAAGCGTGGTCACAGGTACGTTTCCGTTTTTGAAAACTGCTTTCTCGAGACAGAACTTACGTAGCATAAAATTCACCGTCGAAGTATACGACCTAGAGCATTTAGAACGTTCCATCACCTCACAAAGAAACCCCATATGCACTGGCAGCTACTGCCCCCGCCTGCCTCCCCGCAGCCCCTGGCAGCCACTCCGGTCTCTCCAGACCTGCCTAGCCTGGATGTTCCATACGAGTGGAACCATCCAATACGGGTCCTCTGCGATCGGCTTCTTTCACTCCACGTGGTGTTTCCAGAGTTCATCTGCCTTGTAGCCGGGGTCAGTATTCTGTTCCTTTTCCCTGATGACTACTCCATCTGGTAGATATGTCCTACCCTGTGTATCCACTCATCAGCTGACCAACACGGGGACCGTTTCCATGTTTTCAGCTACTATATCTAATGCCGCTATGACTGTGGACGAGTCTCCTCTGGGTTCGCGCACACGAGTGGAGCTGCCACCTTTCTGTGTGACACTGAGGAGCGGCCACACTGTCTTCTGAGCGTGCCCCCGGCAGAGCTGCTGCGGCAGGGTAGGCCAAGCACGCCTGGCATCACCCTCGTCAGTCTCCAAGAGGAGCCCCTCCCCCCCAACAATACAGGGAAGGAGGCTAAGTCTGTGACTGTGGGAGGCCTGCCCCTGCCTGGGACCCACGTGGGCCATGCAGGAGGGACTGCACTGTGAGAGGGGAGGTGGTGAGTGACAGGGCCGAAGAGCAAACACCTTCGCTTTGGGCTAAGGGAGAGAGGAGAGCCACTGACGAGTTTTAAGCTGGGGACACTGTGACGTAACATCTGGCTCTAGGAGGAAATGGAAGATGAGTCAGAACAAACAGATGCAGGATACAGACACCCGTAAAGAGTAGACACAACAGCCTTTAACAGTTAAAACAAGACATGCCGTCCAAGACGAACACAGTTCGGACTGCAAGAGGTCACACACGACAGAATGAGACAACCTGTACATTTGTGTTGTGTGGACAGGAACAGAGGGAGAAGACAGCTAGGAGTTCAGTTTTAGGCTTTGGTCAAAGATTGAGACTAGTATCAAGCCTGCAGGATTCCAATGGTGAGGACCCAGAAGTAGTAAGGGATAGGTTTGATAAACTGCTTTGATAAAAATAGGTTGGGAGATTTTTTCCAGAAATGTCACTGACAAATAGATGTGTTTAATGTACTTTGTTTCTTCACTGGACCCTAAGTTTATCATTTTTTTCAATCACCTTGTCTAAACCACCATCACTGGACAAAACTAACTAGTTAACACTATGACTACTTGTGATTCTTCTCTGGCTAACATAACAGGCCCCGGTATCCGTACAAGAGTGGAGGATCACCAGAATAATTTAACAGGCAAGTCGAGGCTTTTGGAGTGGCTCAAGATCTTCCAGCAAGAATCTCTCATTCACAGTGGTCCTCTGGATCTACCCAAAGATTCACTTCTAAACTGATGACAAACTAGAGGTATGTAACTGAAAAGCTAATTGTTTCATGCACATTAATTAATCCTGGAAAAAAAAAAAAAGCAAAACATCAATGGGAATATTAATACTAGGTCTTTACAAGCACAGTGTCTCTATACTAACCTATTCCAAGTGGAAATACCATGTTCATGGATGCTTAGAGTATGGGTGGCGAAATAGTAAAATGTTTTTTGGGGAGAAAAGTTCAGAAAACTTGTTAAAAGAAATTAGGCACTGGAATCACACCAACTAAAATCTCAAAGGTCCCTATGTATTCTTTTTTCTGTTAAAACACACAACACACACAGACACGTAATACATACTCAAGAGGATCACCAACTTTCTTACGAGTTTTTGAGCTTTCTTACCTGACATAACAAAATACCATCACACTAAACTCTAAAACCCATGGCCTCTCAAACTGGAACAAGAACATTAATTCTGCACATCCCAAGCTAACCTGGCCACAATAGCCTTCACGTGGAGCTCCTGTTCTGGCAATAGCACCCTGGGTGACATCAGCATAAAGGCCCAAAGTCCCCCGCAAAGAGTACAAGACCTCCTTGCCTGGCTGCCCCATCTGTCATGGCCTCATCTCCTAGTCTGCAACGCAGCCTCTCCCCGGCCAGCCATGTCCTCCTGGACCCAAGGGCCAGTAGGAACTAGTTCATCTGAGTAACCATTTACTCCTTCTTCTCAGACTTACTCGTCTTACTCTGCCTTGCTTTCCAGCTCCAGTGGGGCTTCTTCTTTGAGCCCCTGTAGCACCCAGTACAGAACAAGGATACTGTATGATCATGAGCTTGCGATAAGGCCTCACATACAGCACGTGCTCAGCAAATATGTGCCAAACAGAGGGGACCGTTACATGCTGTTGCCAAAGGAAAACATTAATAAAGCACAGTCTGATACAATTTCTTTTCAGACATCTTGCAAATAATTGCTGAAATGCAACTCCTTAGAACAGCACTCAAAGGCCAAGATTAGATCCCACACTATTTTACTAGTCTCATTTCCCACTCTTTGCCTTCCTCACTCTATATTTGAAGGTAAGGGTGGGAGAGGTTAAGGTCCCTCTCTCCCCAAAATGCCCCTTCCTGTCTCTCCGTGTTGTGCATATTAAGGTCAGACTAGGCGCGCTCACCTGTGCAGAAGGCCTGCACTTTCATGACACTTTATACATACTGCATGAAACTTCCTTCTGTTCACAGAGATTCACCTGCAGTCTGCCAGGAGTTGTTTAGGGATAGAAACAGGGGTCCCTGAACTTGAATGGGACAAGTGCACATCTTTATTTTCACTAACCATAGGCTAAAATTCAGTATCTCCTTCAATCTTGAATGAAGGCAATTAACAAGGTGGTATTAGGTGATACCTGAGGGACATTCATATACTTACATATCAGGTAGTATAAGGGGACGGTAAACAGAAACCTCAAGTATTCTCACGTCATGTTACTTGTTGTGGTGATCCTGAAATATTTATGCTCATCACTACTTTAAAACCTGGTATTTATTAGATCTCTTGCTAGAATTTGTTGTTTAATGTGTTAATAAAAAAAGCATATGATTACACTGTATCTGTTTTTATACTATTTTGACAACTATATTTCAACATACTTGGGCTTCCTATATGTTCTGGTCTATGCATTTAAAAATGTTATTTGGGGGATGGGGGGGCCCCTAGTCATCAGACCACCACAGCAGTACATGGTACAAAAAAAAGAATGCCTGCTTTATGGCAAAGAGTAGATCATATTTACCTTTCATCACAACCCCGAGATCAAGAGGCATGTGCTATGGACTGAGTCCAGTCAGGTGCCCTTGATTGTTTTTTTAAACAATATTTTTTTAAATGTTTTAAATGTTTTTTAAAAATATTTCCTTCTAGAGGCGCCTGGGTGGCCCAGTCAGTTAAGCATTCAATTCTGGATTTCAGTTCCGGTCCTGATCTCAAGGTTGTTGAGTTCAAGCCCCGTGTCAGACTCTGTACTGACAGCGCAGAGCCTGCTTGGGATTCTCTCTCTCTCTCTCTCTCTCTCTCTCTCTCTCTCTCACTCTCTCTCTCTCTCTCTGCCCCTCCCTGACTTGTGCTCTTTCTCTATCAAAAATAATTAAACTTAAAGAAAAAAAGATTCAGAAGGCAAAATGGCAATGAGTCTTCCCTAACTTGTGACACAAGGACATTGTACTAATCCAGAAATCAAGTGTTAACAAACTGGCAAGGGGCACTGAGAGCAGTGGGTCTGGAACAAAACTGTTCCTGGATCAGAGTCTAAACTCTGCCACTTGCGAGCTCCGAGAGCCTGGGCATTTAACTTCTACCTTGGTTTCCTCATCTGAAAACAGGAGGTGTGAGTAGAGGATGAAGCCAGATCACACGTGCAGACTCAGGGCCGGCACGTAATCTGCATGAAATGTTGGTGTACGCGTATCATCTAGACAACACAGCAAGAGGAAAGACATCACAACAAAAATGATGGGAAAATGCTCTTAGAAGAACCCATTTACATATGTACACTTTACAAACAGGTAGCCTAAGCACACCCGCGGTGCGGCATGTGCTGGATACACCCGTGGTGCAGTACGTACCGGGTCAACTTGCCATATGATAACTGTTGTGTCCTTTGATCCTGTTGCTAGTTTCGTGCCATCATTAGAGAATTTACAGAACCACACTTCATTACAATGCTCCGTAAGGATCTGCTGAGTATAACACGGGAACTGCCTCCTAAAACAGAGAAGCCCACAAGTAATTGTTCATTGGAAACAGAGTAGAGTAATAATGACGAAAAAGGTGAAAAAGTGACAGAACTGTGTGGAGATCAAAAACTTCACAAATGAGATATCAGCTCCCTTATAAACCTGGAGAATCAAGCTTCCCTGGTACGTTGAAGATTATAGTATCAGCTAAGGCCTCTCAGGGGAAATCAGTAATCCAAAGTCTGCTTCAATGTACAAGTTTTCTTTTTACCCCTGTTCCCAAGATTAAAAAAGAGTAAAAGTATGTATCCATCAGAAAATTTTTGGTCTGATTAATTCAATTCATATGAATAAACATTAACAATTAGGTGTTCAAGTTCGTGTGAGCGGGCCAGCTTCAGGAAGGATGTACGCTGACAAACAGAAGGGTGACAGACATCAGGCAAGTGTGGGTCATAAGCTGTCATGTCTGGCAGGTCCCGACCTCCTCTAAGCCTCCTCCATTCCCTCATCTATAAAATGGGATTCATCTATACCTAACAGGGTCTGCCAAGGATGAGAAAAACATCTAAAGTTCCTGGAAAGCAACAGATACTCACGAGTGATCACTAATACCCTCTGGGGGGGNCCTAACAGGGTCTGCCAAGGATGAGAAAAACATCTAAAGTTCCTGGAAAGCAACAGATACTCACGAGTGATCACTAATACCCTCTGGGGGGGGGGGGGGAGCAGAAAAGTGCCGCATCCGGGAGGGGCCACAACGGTCAGCCACTTATCAGGTAGCTTCCCAGGAAGTAGGAAACTCCTTTCATCCAAGTCTCAGTTTTTCCAACCATAAACTAGAGAGAAGGGGACCCACCTCCTGAAATTCCTTATGCAAGGGTGGAGTCCAAGAACGAGGCCCTGAAGGCAGAGAACGGAGACAGTGCCTGATGCTTGGCTGGCACCTCGGAGGTGGCAGTGCCCGTTCTAGACCAGGGGCAGAGACTTCTACAATCACCAATGTAAAGAGGAGGAAGTCATCACAAGAATGACTGTTCTCAGCACCTTTTATACCATTTTTAAACTCACTTGAAAAAAACCCATCCAACTGTTTTCCAACTCCCGCAGCAGCACACTGGACAGCTTCCTGAGCTAACCTGGCAAGTTTCCGGACCCGGACCACCCAGCCTGAGCCCGGCCACAGGGGGGGATCTCCTGGCCACATGACATGTAGTTGATACAACTGAGGAACTTGAGTTTTATTTATTTATAAAATTTTTTTACTGTTTATTTTTTGAGAGACAGAGAGACAGCCCGAGTGGGGGAAGGGCAGAGAAAGAGACAGACACAGAATCCAAAGCAGGCTCCAAGCTCTGAGGAGATGTCAGCACAGAGCCAATGCAGGGCTTGAACCCACAAACTGTGAGATTATGACCTGAGCTGAAGTCGGACGCTTAACTGACTAAGCCATCCAGGCGCCCCAAGAACTTGAGTTTTAAATTTAATTTTAGTTTCTTTATGTTTAAATTTAAGTGGTCACATATAAATTAGTGGCTACTTTTGGAAGAGCACGGCCCTGTAACAGTCTCTGTAAGATTATAAAAAAATTATTTAAACATCATTAGATAAACTGTTCTCTTCTTAACTGAAGTACACTTGTACTACAGTAAACGAGTTTCAGGTGTGCAGCAGTGACTCAACCATTAAGTACCACAAACGCTTATCACAATAGGTGAATTATACCATTGAGTAGGATACCTGTACTGTACTTTTCATCCCTATGACTTGATGAACTTCTAAGTCTGTTTTGAAAAATGATCTTCCTTATGTTTTACTCAATGTATAATCTAAAAATAGATTTCTATCAATTCACCGGCCTAATATGTAATATATATTTAAAACCAAATTAACATTCTTTATCTGCACACAATGACCATCTACTTTAGCACTTGATATGCAGGGGGCTTTAAACTTTCAGATTGTCTGTAAGTTGCTTTAATAGTAAACTGTTATTCTATATCTAAAACATAATCGATACCAGCTGACATTTATTAGGCACTTTCTGGATGCCCAGCACTATGCTGAGCACTTTACATGTAGTACTGCTAATTCTAAGACTACCTTGCAAGGCAAGTAAATATCTCCATCTTCACAAGGCTCAGAGGACAAATAATAAGTACCACAGACTGGTAACTGAATTAGGATTTAAACCTATGGTTGATTCTCCAAGACCAGTTTTCTTTCAATTATCATTTAAGTTGTATTTTTTTTTTTTTTATGTTTTTATTTATTTCTAGGAGAGAGAGAGACAGCGTGAGCAGGGGAGGGTCAGAGAGAGAGGGAGTCACAGACTGAAACAGGCTCTAGGCTCTGAGCTGGCAGCCAGCACAGAGCCCGATGCGGGGCTCGAACCCACGAACCGCGAGATCATGACCTAAGCGAAAGTCGGACGCTTAACCGCCTAAGCCACCCAGGCGCCCCTTAAGTTGTATTTTTAAAGACACCACTGAATAAAATTCCAGTCAAGTAAGTACTTTCAATATCAACAGTATTTCCTCTCCTTTCTGGGTAGTAATCAATAGTGAGATCTTTTACTCAGTGAGAAACACTTATATTTAGGTATAAAATATACAATAATTCAAATGGGTAAGACTGATCCCATTATCAATGAAATGACAAATCTAAAAACAGCAATAAAATGTTCTTGAGAAAGGACCAATTCATAATCAGAATTTAGGGCACAAATCATCCAGTCTACCAACAGTCATAAAAGTAGTATTTAAATTGGCATTTTTATTATTAAATAATTTTTGAAAAACAGCCCTCAGGTTAATAAAAGCCTAATTTTAGATGTATACAAGTCAAAGTTGAGGACTTTGTTTTCAAGTAAATTTAAGATGATGGGGTGCATGGTAGGTAGGTGGCTCAGTTAAGCGTCCGACTTTAGCTCAGGTCATGATCTTGCTGTCTGTGAGTTCAAGCCCCATGTCAGGCTCTGTGCTGACAGCTCAGAGCCTGGAGCCTGCTTTGGATTCTGTGACTCCCTTCCTTTCTGCCCCTCCCCCGCTCATGCTCTAAAAAAAATGAATGTTAAAAATTTTTTTTTCTAATTTAAGATGGTGTTAAAAATAGCACCTCCCCCCAAAAATTTAATAGGATAGCATTTTAATCAAACTGAACCTTCACATTTTAAGTTTCTATAAATATTTCATAATTATCTTTTACTAAAAAATTAATACTTATAAAGTTTCCTATAGAAACATCCTTCCACTGGATGCTGGTGAAAAACCTACCAATTTAACCAAAAATATGCACTCACTGTTACAAATACAAATAACATAGGATCTAAAGAAAACTCCTTGGTGCTGATGAGGATTTCTAAAAGTTCCTGTTCACTTATTCATGATCAATTCTCTACCCTCCAGAGAGAAGAGAGAAAAGCTGGTATTTAGGCTTCAATGCTAAGATTTAACTTATGAGTTACAGTTTTCTAGTTTCAATGCTAATCTAATTTCCACAAGGGAATATGGCAAGTAATAAAAAACAGAAAATTTTCTTTTGAAGACCTCTAGGTAAAAGGGGAATACTAGGTATTAAATCAAATTCAGGTTCTCCTCTCCTAGTCTGGCAACAAAGGAACAGCTCTCTGTAAAGACGTGTAGCCCAATTTTATGTATGACACGCCCCGCTTTGGTGTCGTTCAAATGCACCCCTGGAATGTACCACGAGGCTGAGTCCTGGTGTTCTGGCTTGGAGAAGCTGGGCAGATGGAGCCCTTCACGGAGACCGAACTTAAGAGGAAAGGCAGACTCTGCACGGACAGTCAGAGGAGAGGCAAGTTCCACTTCGGACATGGTGCATTTAAGATCCTCAAGCAACATCCCCGGTTGTATTAGGGTCCAAGGCTTAGGAGATCAATTCCGCAGCCCTCGCCTGGACGCGAGGACCGTCAGAACCCAGAGTAGGAAGGTCGGACGACAAAAGAAACCATCTGGAGCACACATTTAATAAAGGGACAGGTAACGGGCAGCAGCCAGCAGTGAAACGAGAGGGATTCTGCACAGAAGCTGTTCGTCATCTGCATCTGTACGGGGCTGTGCTGGCTGCAGAAATCCAGATGAGGGACACAGTATCACTGCACAGCAGGGAACTACCTCCAGCAGCAGCAGACTCTGAGGCGTGTGTGTGTGTGTGTGTGTGTGTGTGTGTGTGTGTAAAAGACTACAGGGGAGGTGTGTGTGTGTGTGTGTGTGTGTGTGTGTGTGTAAAAGACTACAGGGGAGACCTTCCAGTCAGTGGTGAGTTCTGAAAAGCATGAACCCTCATTCCCACGTAAAACTCCGGGGGTGCTCTCTACGCAAGGGTCTAAGGGCATAGAGATCCCTGACCTGAGGGCAGGACAAGATCAGACTAAACGTTTTCCATCATTTACTTCCACAGGTGCTACAGACGTCAAGAAAATGTAGGTCTCGTGCTCACAGATTCGAATTTCTGCACAGGAAGGCAAGCCCTTCACCCACTGACACCTCTTGAACCATAAAGGTCAACGCAAATAGCATTCAGTGTGTTCCACCAGCAGCAAATTCATGAACCAAAAAGAAAAGTTTGGGTTCACAACTGCCTCAAGTTCCCTAAAAGGGGCTGTGAAGGGTGAAATCATGTCACCCTTTTAACTATTATCTCCTACCTCTATTCAATTCAGAAATTCTCCTAAGTTAAAGACCCACGTTAAAGAGTAAAACAGAAAAAAGGAAAAGGACTCTAATAAACCTCTTTCAGCAAGTTTAAGACACACCATGTCATCACCTGCTACATGAAGGCCAATGACACTGCTGTAGCTCAACCGCCAGCCTTCCGCTCTCAACCGTCTGGGGAGGGGAGGCGACACCGACCCACACAGGAAGCACTCTGCGCACACCCGGCAACCTCCGCTCCAATCCCTGCGCAGGCACACTAACGTCTGGTGGCCGCCCTGGGCCCACCCCGGCCCCACCTGCCACGCCAGTGCTTCAACAGGGGTCTTTGGCAAAAGACACTGGGCACACGCACCACAGCTGTCTTGTTTGCTTCACCAGACCCAAATCGTTTCCCTCCTAATGTCTGAAACATTTCCGGGTTTGCTCCTTAGCACCTTATTTATTTATTTATTTAGAGAGAGAGACAGACAGACAGACAGACAGACACAACACATGTGTAAGTAGGAGAAGGGCAGAGTCCCAAGCAGGATCTGCACTGTCATCACAGAGCCCCGGGTGGGGCTCAAACCCACAAACCATAAGATCCTGACCTGAGCTGAGATCAAGAGGTAGACGCTTAAACAACTGAGCCAGCCAGGTGCCCTGTTCTTCAGTACGTTAAAAATGAGAGCTCTGCTTTAATTTGAAGATCATTACTCCAACTGCAGGGGCATTTTCACTCAAAATACTCCTCATATCAAAAGTGGAGCCTTCATCCATACGAGTTAAATTACGTACTTGACAGATTCAGCAACAAACCCAAACCAGAAAGTGAATGCCTGTGACCCCAGCCACGTCTAGTTCAGGAGCCAGGTCCTGCTAAACAGCAGACCTTCCATTAGGAATGAAGTAGTTCCATGATCTTTACGGGCAGGAAATAATTGGGGCCACTGTTAAAGTAGCGAGAGCGTCCAGAAACAGAGTCCTGGCCTCTAAGCACAGCCAACACTCAGGTCAGTGGCATCGCCACCAGTCACCCCTCACAAGCCCTCCTAGAGATGGCCGGACACAGAGGATCACCGACCTGCCCACAGAGAGGGGGACCCTCTCCAGCTGAGGGTCACTGCACAAGCACCCTCACATTTCTCTGCAAGTGTCAGCTTCAGTTATTCCAGCCCCGCTCGTGAATGCTGGATCGGACATGAATGGTTTCACCGCCACAGGACAACACTCCAAAAAAGGAAACCTTTTAGCGAAGTTCGTACTGAGTCTGTGAGGTAACAGCCTACTTCAGAACAGAAGTTGCTCTCTTACCTACTACACACATGATCTATGAGCAGAGACACGGAATCTAGGTTATTATCGAGTTTGGTATTGTGGTACAGGCACCGGTCCCTCTGTAGCTCCACCGCCTGCCGCAGGAGGGTCTGTAAACGCCGCGGGGGCAGCATCACTGATGGTGGCAAATAGGCTGCAAGAGAAGATAGTTTTGAAACAAGAAATGAAAATAAATGTTAAAAAACCAAGACGGTAGAACCTTTTATTGAAGACATTTGCTTGCCCTGTGCTGCCCCTGCCCTCCCCCAGTAATAGCGGCCCCCTGGGCAGAGCCATGGGGGGTGGGGCAATAGAATGTGGGCTTTATCAGTATCTGCCAGCGGCTATGGGGATGCTGTCACAAAATGGGACGGACAGGAAGGCTTCAACTTGCATTTTTTTTTAAAAAATGCTGTTTAAAAATTTTATTTATTTATTAAGTAGGCTCCACACCCAAAGTGGGGCTCAAACCCACAATCCCAAAGTCACATGCTCCCTGACAGCCTGCCAGGTGCGGCAGGAGGGCTTTCATTTGTATGCAAATTTACAAAACCAAACAAAGACACAAAGCAAAACAACAACAAAAAACAAACCCCACAACACCTCCCCCTTCCCAAAAGGCAGTGATGGAAAGAAAATGTACAGATGACGACCATGCGCCAGAGGGAACTAAGTGGCACTGTGTGTGCAGGGAAATCTAGAGACGGAGGGGGACTGGTGTTTTGACACGACACCTGTGCATTCCAATCCCAGACCACATGGTTTCCCGATTCCTAGGATGTCTACTGCACCTCAACATGAAACACCCAGAATAACACGATTTAGTCCAAAAGGGAAAAAGGTCGTTTATGTACAAAACCATAGTGAAATTAAAACCCTCCTGCTAATTAGGAAGTTATACAGAATAGATCTAGGGGGAGAGGAAAACAATGGACTTAAATCTGGGCCTTCCTACTGACATCAACAGAACACTTAGAACACTTGTAGTTTGGTGGCGCCTGGCTGGCTTAGCCCGTGGAGCGTGTGACTCTTGATCTTGGGGTCGTGAGTTCGAGCCCTGCATTGGGTGCAGAACTTACTTTTAAAAAAAAAAAAAAAGACAATAAAATCTTTAAAAAGGAAAAGCAGTTGTTGTTTAAAGGTCTGGTTTATGTCCATTTTCTACAACCGCAGCACTTGCCCCACAAAGAAAATCTTCGCAGAGCATCAACACAACATGGTGCCAGGAGAGCCGCACGGGCTGAGCATCCTGCCCTTCCCGCCCCCTTGCCCGGCTCCCAAGGGGTGCACTGCCTCCCAGGCTCTGTGACCCAGTCTGGAAAGGGCCTCCTGATAGATTTTCCCTTCTTCCCTATGCACCCGCTCACTGCCCGCAAAGAGTGCGTCCAGACACAGGCTACCTAGTCGATGCTCAGTCTCTACTGTAACGTGAGCAAAAGCACAGAGACCAAGCACGGAGACTCCTCTTACTCTGCAGCTTGTCCAGCAGTTTGGAGCGGGAGGCCGTCCCTTTGCCCTCCCATTCCGCTTTTGCTCGGAGGTCTTCTGCGTGGCTGCACATCAGATAGCTACAAACGTGACAGAGAGAGTGGGTATCAGAGCCTGTGCTTCGGATTAAACATAACTGGAAAACATTGATTATACTTTCACAGAAATATACTCATCGAGAAGAAATCTCTACAGTAGACGCAACGCACGGAGACAACCTGGCACCTGGACAGAATCTCTGAACCGTAATGCAGCGTAGCGGCACCACGCGCGGTGTCACCCACTTGCGGGTTCATGTCGTCCACCAGCGCACACGTGCAGCTTGCACTGTGTCCCGGCTCCACTCCAGGCGCCACACGCACTACTTGACTTGATGCCCTCCACGATCCCGCCACTATCCGTGTGGAGCAAGCACTAGCATTCTACTTGTACAAACGAAGTGCCCAAGGCACAGAAAATCTTCAGGAACTGGCTTAGCTAAGAGGCAAACACAAAAGGGATGTAAACCCAGGCATCTGGGCTGCAAATGTTGCTCTTAAATCCTATGCCAACTCAACTGCTCCTCAGTCGTCAAAAACCCCCAAATAAAAAGAAAAACCCTTCAATTTACATGAAGTTAATTAAACAACAACACACTTTCCAGAGCTGATCACAGACGTCACTCAAGAAACGGTATGACTTGATGACCACCCTTGTGTCGTCCCGTGACGGGACGCCCCCCCCGCCCCGAGCAGGAAATCTGGGAGCTGCTTCTCGGTTCACTATGTGTGCTGAAGATGGCAAGAATGCTAGAGTCATGGATTCTAGAGAACACGGTGGGGGGCGGGGGGGGGGCACGGGGCGGGGAGAGGCTACGGAAGTGGGATGCTGACCTGGCTCTCGCACCTCTCCCGAGAACCGGCTTTAAAAGGGAAGTGAAGGCATGATCCAGACGCAGCAATCAGATCTGGCAAGGGACCCTCTTGCTGCCCTTACTCTATCTGGGATGATGTTCTCAGACAAATCTGCTCTTCTCACTTGTTAAAAGGGTACTAAATAGGGAAGTAAGGATTAAATTAAGAGAGAGTACCTAAAGTACTTGGTCCACTACTTGGTATGTAGGTAGAACATACTCTCAGTTAACAGGAGTATCGCCTCCTCTCCTCTTGAGTTGCACAGAGCACACTGCACTTAGCACCCAGTCACTTACTCCCCTCTTCCCTGGGAGCGGACCTACGTGCTCTCTTGCTATTTACTATACAGTGTCTTAGCTGATGAGAACTGTAACAGCACGAGTAGTTTAACTCGAAATACCCCATAAAAAACCCAAATATCATAAAAATTTTGGTTTCTAAAATAACTTTTTGAAGTAAAATTTATCTTCAATAATTTTATGGAAGAATTGTTTACTTTGCCTGGGTGGCTCCGCTGGTTAAGTGTCCGGCTTGATTTTGGCTCAAGTCATGATCTGACAGTTCCCGAGTTTGAGCCCCACACCGAGCTCTGCGCTGGCAATGTGGAGCCCACTTGGGATCCTCTCTGCCCGCCTTCCCCCGCCCCCCCGACTGCTCTCTAAAATAAGAAAATTAAAAGTAATAATAAAAAAAAATACACATTATACCTTAAAGTTCCAAATGAACATGTTTACGGGAAACCACAGGGTATAACTGACAGCAAGGAGCGGCCGAGAGGAAGAAAACCTGTGTCCGAATGCCAGTCCACACCTGGCCGTCTCTGGGCCACTTCCTTACATGAAACATTTCAGGGACACATTGGGTGAAGTTCGTTTTGGAATAAAGGCTGTATGATTAAGTTACGTGTCTGTTATTGGACAAGACAAACCTCATCATGGGAATGTTCTTTAGGTGACACAGAAATCAGACCCCTTACAGAGAAGTAAACTGGAGAAGGTAGGCGCTCAGCCAGTGAATCATACCCAGCAGCTGTACCATTTCAAGAGGCAGTGGGTGTGGACTGGTCACTCCAGGATCAGTCAAGCCCGACTCTGGGTCTCAGCTCTCTGGTTTGTTAGCTGTATCCTGGACTGGCTATTTTGCTTCTCTGATGTTCAGCATCATTTTCTCAAAAACCCTAAAACAAGCCCTACACCTCTCTGGGTGCATCATTTTACCCATCAGTTTGTATCTGCAAACCCCTCAAGTGTCAATGCAGACGCCGAGGCTGGGGCCCTGTCTTACAGCCAAAAAATGCCATGACGAAAATCATGAAGCACAGGGATGTGACAGAGAATGCCTGGTGGGTGGTTTCAGGAGAGGACATTCAGGCTGGGACCCTAGCAACGAGTAGCCCCTAGGAAAAGATGAAAGGAAAAGCATCTAGAATAAAGGAAACAGGCAGTGTGAGTGGCCTGGCAAGTTAAGGAGCGGAAAACACACTCCTGTCACTGGAATGAACGGATAAAGGAAAAGGTGGCCGGGAGGGTCAGCAAGCGTGTGGGCTTGGACTGAGGTTCTGGATTTTAAGAAAGGGAGAAATGACTTCGTGTACGGTTTTACTTCTGTCTGTCCGGCTGCTGCGTGAACTGTGTGTCACCAGGGAAGCAAGAGCACACAGCGTGGGACGTACAAGGAGGCTATGGGAATATTCTAGGAGAACCATTTGTGGACTAACTAGGGTAGAAGTGGTGGAGATGGAGAGAACAGGACAGATCTGCTATGTTTTAGAGTCAGGCCAACACACGGCAGAGTGAAAGGGTGAAACATGTGCAATGATGAACCTCGGACAAGTTTGGACAAGCGGGAAGAAGGTCTTATGGTTTACGGAGGAAGGAAAGTGAGAGGAGATGGGGGGGGAACAGGAGGACTGGAGAATGTGGGGAGCGTTCACCTGAGCTCCTGACACACCTCAGAGACACCCTGGGGACATCAGGCAGGCAGACAGACATGCGCCGGGAAGCAGGGAGCCTCCCGCTCAGACGGCACATGAAGGCGCAGCCGGGAGTGCGTGCATGAACCGCAGGGGGCCAGGTGCAAGCCCCAGGGGCCGCCCCCCGCTCCCCCCGCCATATACAACTGATGTGAGGCTCTAGTGAGGCTCAGCCAGGGTCCAGGGTGCGTCCACGCTAATGGAAACGTCTGCCGCTTTGCGGGTTCTCACACAAGACCACAAGATGGCAACACGCATGTCTTTCTTTCGCCCACAGGGAGCAGCTCTGCCCCCAGAGCTTCCCACGATGACAATAGCAGCTTGGACACTGAGTGAGTTTATCCAGACCACCGTGGTCGAAGGGTTCAGCAAGATTCAGACGTGGGCAAACCATCAGGAAGTGGCGCCCTGGCACAGGGCCCCTGCCAAGCCTGGGGCCCGGCCTGGCCAGCTTCCTTACCCGCTGAGAACATGGATGCGCTCCGTGTTGTACTTCAGGGGCGTCAATTCGCAGCGCAGAACTTGAAGCGCCTCCAGGACCTTGCCGTCCTCCAGGTACTCCAGGTACTTCTGCTGCAGCAGCAAAAACTTCATCCTCTGACATGACAGAAAGCAGCGGTCAGGGGAAAAAAGTTGATGGAGGTTTCAGAAAATGTTTGTGCCTAAACAGAACAGTAGAAACCATTCTACTATGCCCTTTGAAAATAACTTTTATAAAGCTTTACGATGACTCAAATATTTTGGGTTAACACAGTCACAGCAGACGAAACAGGACTTTGCGCAATTCCGTATCTTAATAAAACTCTGCTTTCAACACACGATCTCAAATCAAGTAAGACCATTAGTACCCAAGGCATCAACACAGGAAAACACGAACTCTGCCCTTAAACCATTCACCTAGAATTTTATTTCTTTTATGAAAATGAGGAACTATTCCAAATATTCTAAATTTGTTTTAAAAGCCTGACTTTTGGGGGACCTGGGTGGCTCAGTCAATTAAGCGTCTGACTTCAGCTCAGGTCATGATCTTGTGAGCCCCACGCATGGTTCTGTGCTGACAGCTCAGAGCCTGGAGCCCGCTTCAGATTCTGTGTCTCCCCCTCTCTCTGACCCTCTCCTGCTTGTACTGTCTCTCTCTCTCTCTCAAAAATAAACATTAAAAAAATTAAAAAATAAATAAAAGCCTGACTTTTATAATTGGGCATTAGGGGGTTTTATGCGACAAGTTTTGAAAAGATGGAAGAAAAACTGGTTCACAGAGGAATCACTTAAAAAACTACAATGCAGGTGCATGTGGGTGGCTCAATCAGTTAAGCATAAGACTCTTGACTTCAGCTCAGGTCATGAGCTCGGAGTTCGTGAGTTCGAACCCTGAGTTCGGCTCTGCCCTGATAGTGCAGAGCCTGCTTGGGATTCCTTCTCCCTCTCTTTCTGCCCCTTGCGTGTCTTCTCTCTCTCTCAAAATAAATAAATAAACTTAAAAAAAAAAAAGAAGGCAGAGCTGAAATGTCTGCAAAAGGATTCCATTTTTGTACTTGGGGACTGGTAACTGCCTGAAGTGCGAGGCAGACAATTCTCAGCTCTTTTCCCCAAAACGACAAACCACTTCCAGCTTACTATGAAGCACTTTCATGTTCAGTTTTTTCTGGAATGAGTTTGGTTCTAATCCTTTTTACTGTCCCTTAACTCTTATTACTGTATGTTTGAAAGTGATCATCATGATCTTATTAGCAGCTTTTTGGCTAGAAAAGAAACTTAGAAAAGAAACTTCTGAGTGCCAAGGTGAGACTCTCTTACAAGTGAAGACCCCTGCCTAGCAGGGCTCTCTCCTCACCCCTACCTGTGGTGCCTGAGCACACCGAATGGTGCAGGCACAGAGAATGTCAGTCATGTTCGAGACCCCAAGGAACTCAGTGGCAAAGATTTTAAATCTACTTAAAAGAAAAAACCAAACTGTAGCTGCTGCTTCTTCAGGAAGAGGCTTACTTAGAAAATATTAAATATATATACACCGCTGTCCAAAAATGGTGTGGAGAATTTATCATTTCTTCCCAGAGTTAAGAGCACAATGAACCCCTCTACATGACTTTTTTCGTTAGATTTTTTAACCTTTATTTATTTTTTTGAGAAACAGAGCATGAGCAGGGGAGGGTCAGAGTGAGGGGGACACAGAATCTGAAGCAGGCTCCAGGCTCTGAGCTGTCAGCACAGAGCCCAACGTGGGGCTTGAACCCATGAACCGTGAGATCATGACCTGAGCCGAAGTTGGATGCTTAACCAACTAAGCCACCTTGGTGCCCCTACACGGTTTTCCATTAGGCAGTATTCAGAAAAAAGGCATAGGCACAAGCTTACAAAAACGGTTTCTAGCGAAAGTAAACAAAACTAACCCTGTCACGTAATCAGGCCTCCATTTAAACACATCTTTTAATAAGATACGTGGCATATGTGATAATCTAAAACTTAAATCTGTAACTGAAGAACGATGAAAAAAATTTCAAACTGTAAGAGAAGCTCTTACAACTCTAGAAAATTCATACCCTTATCCAATTTTACACTTAAACTGCCTGATGATGCTTCAGAAACAGACCAGTTACTAAGATGCCCTGAAAAGGGTCCTGTTGTACATGGAGCCTAAAGTTAACCTCTCTGTGTCAAATAAAAAAAATACGTTCAAGTCCATCATGACAAAACCCAAAAAAACAACTTAAAAATTAAAAAATTTTATATTTGAAGTTATCTTGGACAGTCTCATCATTTTATCTTCTGAAAAAAAACCACTATGAAATGTAGATTTTATAGATTTCCATTTATCGATATGCCGTTACAAGTTTCATTTCCAAGTATTTCTAATTCAAACCTGAGAATCGTGTTTAGCTGCAGAATTTTTCATTTAAATGCCACAGGGATCAGGCCAGTACGTATACTTATTTCTTTACTAAATTTTCTTATCAACTGGAAATTTGGGGAAAATTACTTTTTAAAACTCAGGGTGAATTTTTATTTTTTGGGTATCCATCATTAGGTCTTGGGCACACCCCTGTTCCAACGTGTGTAGGGTCAGTGCCCCGAGCAGGAGTTCCCCTTCATTTTCTCCCCAAGATCCCGCGAGGGCACGTTTCTCTAAGGGGAGAGGCAGTCTGGGACACGGGTGGAGGATGCCGTCAGAGGCCAGTACGGGCACATGTCCTGTGGACAGGGCGTGCCGGACAGCGCACAGACCTTCTCTGGGAGACATTTATCCAGGCCAAGACAAAGAATACCCTCAAAGGGGCATCAGACCCTGGTATCGTGGATGGTGAGTGACACGCCACTGGCCAAGCACAGCCAGAAATTTGGTTGGAAGAGAAAATACTTATGTTCCTAAAAATCAGTTCAATTTGTATTTGACACGTATGAGGAGGATGGAGAGTAATACTGTTCTTTTACTTCCCAAAACTGGAAACACAATTTCAAGAAAATTAACATCGTTCACAAATGATGTTGATTATTTACTGAAAAAGTTTTAAAAAATTAGGTGAAACTAGTTTGCTGAGCTGGAGATAGAGCGTTATTAAACTTCTCTTGTTTTAAGATCACAAGCTTCTCAAATGAAGAAAGAAAGAGACTGAGAAAACAGGCTCCCCCTTTCTGTCTTCTCCCGGCTCCTAAAGAGCCCCCCAGGAGAGAGCACTGCTGTCCCAGGGCCATTTCTCAGGGTCATTCTTTCTGCCAGGGTGCCTCTCTCCCCTCTACCACCTAACAGAGGCATGAAATGGACGAGGGACTCGGGGGCGGGGGGTGTGTGTGTGTGTGTGTGTGTGTGTGTGTGTCAAAGACTGCTCCCCCACGTCGCCCCCCATCCTACCCAGTACTGAGGCCACTGCACCCTTGCCCCCCCACCCCACCCCGCACAACTGTTCCACATGCGGAGGGGAAGGAAAACCCCGAAGCCGCATGGGAAGTCTGCTTATCCCGGGCAGCCTCCTCGCGAACTCAGGAGCTCTTCTGACTAACTCTGGAATAAGGTTATAACCAAGTTGTAGCAATTAAACCGTGACTCAGAGGAAAGGGGAAATGAATTCTATTTAAACCATGGCTTTCAAAACCCCTCCCTATTTAACTTTAAAATACACTAGTTGAGTTCTGTGCCTCAAGTTAGCATTTGAACACTTTTCTGAAGCACATTTCTGGATACTGAAAAATACAGAAAACTTTAAGACCGAGTCTCCCATGCTACTGGCCGCTACTGCCCACCCGAAACTCCCCGGACATGCTTGAACCCAAACCGAAAAACTGAAAAATGTTGATTCATGAGCTCACTTTCCAGAAAGTTCAGAGCAAATTCTGCTATTTCTTGTATCATCTGACTGAAAAGCATTTAAAAATATGGTGGGGGGGGGGAGGTGAGGGGGATGCAGTGAGTAGATTGGGTCAATAATCTGAGTTAGAAAAATATAATACAGGGGTGTCTGAGTGATTCAGTTGGGTGAAGCACTCGATTCTTGATTTCGGATCAGGTCACAATCTCGTGGTTTTGTGGGTTCGAGCCCCAAGTCGGGCTCTGCGCAGAGCCTACTTGGGATTCTCTCTCCTCCTCTCTCTCTCTGCCTCTCCCGCACATTCTCTCTCTCCCAAAATAAACTTTAAAGAAAACTTTGAAAAGTAAAATACAATTTTAGCCTAGACTAAGTCATCAGATGTGTCTGGGCATACAATTAGAAGAACGATGCTAAAAGAAAGCTCCAAATAGTTGTCCCCTGTGGTATTATTACAACTACCTTTGGACTGGATGATCTTCTGGAGATGGTGTGGGAGAGAGGAGCTAATCTGAACACAAACTCCAAGGGTGAAAAAATGCTGAACTGAATCTTAAACCTGGAACCCTTTTCTTGTATAAATACCTAAAGAGTTTGGTGGCATGAGCTCAGCCAGAGATTTAAGGTTCATCTTTTATAAGATCCTAGAATGTTCTAAAGACTAAACAGGCTGTAAAAAGAAAGGATTCCTCCTCATTATCTATTACTAACTTTCCTGAGTTTACATGGTGCTTCTAATGAAGATTTCAAACGAGACAGTCTTTACCTAAATCCGAACTTTCTATAAACAAGTAAGAAAAAATAGGAAATGAGCCTTCTAAAATAGGACTACTAAATTACAAATATAATTTGAAGTCAAGCTTACAAAAGGCAAATAATCCTCCCAAAACTCACACACTTGTAATTTTTTGTCTTTATTTTAGGGTCACCTTCCATTCTACCAGAAAATAACTACTCAATTAAAATATAGTTTTTTGGTTTTTTTTAAATAAAACCAATGACTGGGGAAAACTTAGAATTGCTGGAAAATTTATAATCCTTTTAAATATAGACATTTCTGTGTTTTCATTTCTAATATTTGACACGGAACTGATTATTTCACGAGTTAACTTATTATCAATCATCTGATTAATATTTAAGTATTTACTGAAAGCAAAAATATATATATATTAGATCACCAATTTAAACTAATCCACATTTGATCATATTCTGTACCTTTAATTCACCTGAAGTCCATTCCCTAGTATTATATATTATTGTGTAAAATCGTATTATGAATTTTAAAACTCTATTGTAATTAAGATTCACACACGCACACACACACAGCTCAAAAACGAAAATAAGAGGCCCTATTAGGTTTACAAAGGCAGAAAGATTAATGTTTGACCTAATTTTAAAAAAAAATCAAAAGGTAACAGTAGTCACTAATGTTTAACAAACAGCTGGTTTCTCTACTTCACTTCCTATTGGTGTTCCTTCCCTCCCCCACCAGACAGGAAACTGCTTTTGACAACAAATGAATCAGCTAGAAGTTAAAAGGCCAGCAGCCGGCAGCTGATTCTTCATGGTTTCCAATCACAAGCACTTAGAAAAACTGACCCCTCCTCTCCCTCACCGACATCTACACAAGAATTAAAGTCCTCTCAGAATAAAGGATTCCTGAAGACTGAGAGAGGGGAGAGCTGGTTCCACCACTAAGGTGATCTCGTCAGGGCAAGAAGGCCTGTGAACAGAGGGCCCGTGGTCAGATCTGCTCACAAAGCCTCTACCAGACCAATACCCACGGACCATCTTGGGCACTGTCAGTTCCCACACCTGGAAGGCAGGAATGGAAAATGGCGAGCACACAAAGGGAGTTGGCCTGAGTTGACTGTTACTCCCAAAGATTTAAAAAAAAAAAAAAAAAAAAAAAAAAGACAATTATAATGTACCAGCTACTGAGGGTTACAGGATACATCTCCTTTGCTGGCACGTTCAGTATAAATAATGGAAAAGCAGAGCTTATCTTTGATTCCACAAATATAAAACTGTTCTTAATAGCACTGAGAGCGTGAGCACCTTTCAATTCATGCTGTAGAAGCTTAACTTATTAGGTTCAAATGACACAATTATTAAACATGATGTTTAAGACATTAAACATGATTTTCAAGACATAAAACTCAGAACTTTAAATCATTAACACTCATCGCAGTTTACAAGCTTAACTCTACAAAATTTAACAATTTTTAGACTTTATTTTTCATAGGTAGCAGAGGCCTAGAGTTATCAATAACCTACTAAAATAAGCATGAATGTGAAACTAAGAACAAAAGTGTATTTACCACAATTATTCCCAACAACGTTTGAGAGATTTCAAGTGCGCCTCTTACCACAATAGCATGAGGAGAATGCACTAAGGGCTTTAGTTCATTCAGGTCATTTTCTGCCTGCAAAAATTGGTATAAAAAAAAAAAAAACAGAAAGGTCACAGAATGCACATTCAAATATATAATTGTAGCAGCAGTCACACAGCTCTATATGCCCTACTTTACCTTATCCCAGTCTCCTTCCATGACATGATTTCGGAATTTGGTAGCAGAAGGATGTTCTAAACGACATCCTGACTCTTGCATGAGGAGATCAACAGTCTGGCTGCAGGAGAGATACAGTGTAAAAAAGACCTGGCCAACTTTAGGGTTCACCCTTCTAAATAAACTCATGTCCATAAAAACAGTTGCAGAGGCTTTCAAGCTAAGCTCACGAGGAAGAGAAAGAAAGAAAGAGCTTTTCAATGTGCTTGGCTCAACAAACTTGCATTTTTAAACTGCCACCTTCCTACGTTTATGTCAAGCTAAAGGCCTTCTTGAAACCAGAATTAGGGTTAAGTTCTTCCGATTTTTACCATGTAATTCCTCAGAAGTTTAGCAAAGTACAACATCTCCAAAGACATGTTGTAACCGACCGGTCAAATAAACGAAGACCCAGGACGGACATACTAACCACCTTACAATGTATCAGAAGACAGAAACTATCAGCTCCAGACAAGGTGGTCCCGAGGCCCTGGGCCAGGGGAGGGCCTCACATCCAGACAGTACGTTCGCACGGAAATTCTACTAGGTCAATCTTTGAAATTAAAATAAATCCAGCATCAAAAATCACTCTCTTTCTCGCTCTACTAAAAATAGCAAATTTACTATGGTGTAGGTTCCAAACAGTCACGAGTTATTTCCTCCTGCTGCTGTCAGCTTGCTTCTGGTCTCAGTAATATGTTCTGCTCGCATTTACAAAATCTGTTTTCTTACTAATCCTTTTCCTCAGGGAACAAAGTGCAATCTTTCGAAGTGTGTGTGTCTTTGAGAGCTGGAAAGATTGATCAAATGTAGTTCCTCTCATCAGATAGTTCAATCCCTGAGACTTTCCTCATCACTTTACATGTTTGTGTTTATGATTCGGTGTTTTCTTGCTCAGCTCCGTTCGTTTTGCCAGAGAATCAGAACACTGAAGTCACTTCTAGGAGTGCCCCCCCTCCCCCCCAACAAATCTATGAATCCAGAACCACAGATGGGCTGGCCCAGAGCTCAGCGGGGCCCTCTAGGGCACCCCTACCACCCACCCCATCTTTCACCCGGGGAAGGTTTCCTTTGGGCACACAGCCCTGTGGGTTATGGCCCAGGTCGCTGTCCACCTCCACCCCAGTTTAGGCAGGCAAGGCCACCTGCATGTATCTGCACATCAGATGTCCCTTTTTCACAGACAATGGCTTAGTCCTGGGCCAAATCCGGGGGCCTGGGGCAGTTGGTGGCAGGCCTTCTGCTCTTACAAGGGGGCCTTGAAATGACAACAGGGTGTCCCGCTCCTCCACTCCCACCAGTCTTCCTGCACTGCTTCCCTCTAAGCGTCCCGGCCCCTCTGCTCCGGCGGAACACTTGTAGGTGACTATCCTCCCGGGCTGGTGCTCTGCCCAGGAGTGTCCGTCAGAGCGGGGCGCCGGGGAGGGGGGGGGGCTGTCCCACAAAGACGCGGCTCACATACACTTGAAAAACAAATCCTCCCAGGT